CTAATTAGACAGGACAGCTGAACTACCTTCCAGACGACCTTCTGGATGGAGCCGGGGCTGTGAGGGCTGAGCTTCTAGCACAAATTTCGTGCATTGGGCCTCTAGTAGTTCAATAAATAAGTAAACTCAAGTAACTACTCATAGCCATTGTTGTTTTTTAGTGTTTGCTACTTCACTTTTAATCTTTAGTGTTTGAGAAAGTATTATATACTTCCCCCTTTTTCCCCATTGACTCCTAGTAGCCCATCTGCAATCCCCCGCCCCAGGCCTTCACCACCCTATTGTCCATGGGATTTGCATATATGCATACAAGTTCTTTGGTTGATCTCTTCCAACCCACCCACCCTTCCCTGCCTTTTATTTATTTATTTATTTATTTATTTATTTATTTATTAAGATATATTTTATTGATTTTCCACAGAGAGGAAGGGAGAGGGATAAAGAGCTAGAAACATTGATGAGAGAGAAACATTGACCAGCTGCCTCCTGCACACCTCCCACTGGGGATGTGCCCGCAACCAATGTACATGCCCTTGACCAGAATCCAACCTGGGACCTTTCAGTCCCCAGGCCGATGCTCTATCCACTGAGCCAAACCAGTTTCGGCTGCCTTTTATATGACTGAATGACATGGGATTATTCTCTCCACTGTGGGGATAAATTACTTACACAACTTGGGTGAATGAGCAGTGAGTATTTCGAAGATTGGTAGTGGGGAAATTTTCATGAGCAGGTTTCTGACAGTTTCCTGCTGTTGTAGAAGATTTAATGTATTTCTTTACATTTTTATCCTATAGAAAAATGCCTGTTAATATGAAAACACAGTATTAAATATAAAACAATGAAGTCTTCCAAAGTCCGTTGAAATGTAGGCATGTAGTGTTTTACAGTAGTAATAATTAATGTCGTTTTTAAACATTCGTTTAAAATCTTGCTTGGCGTTGACTTGTATTGACATAACCTTCAAACACGTGTAGTGCAATTAACAAGTTTTGCTTGAAAAAGTTTGTGTTTGGCTTGGTTTTTGTTGCAAAACTAGGGCTAAGAAGATGGCGGATGAAGAGCATATTCGGCACTGCATGCTTTACGAGTCCCAATTAGGAAGAAAAGCAAGTGAGGATGCAAAAAACATCTGTAGTGCTCTTGGTCAAGATGCAGTTAGCGCCAGAAAATGCCAGCGTTGGTGTGAGAAATTTCGCGAGGGAAATTTTTCGTTAGATGACAAGAGTGGTCGAGGCCGTGTGTCCAATTTTGATCAAGAAGCTCTTCAAGCTCTTTTGGTGCAAAATCCTCAAATTACCCAACAAGAGCTTGCGACAACTTTAAATTGTTCACAAAAAACAATTTCCAATCAATTGCGTGCACTTGTCCAAAAGTTTGGAAAATGGGTTCCTCATGAGTTGACCGACAACAACCGTAATCAAAGAGTCACAATTTGCAGTTCGCTCCTCTCTCGTCAAAACTGTATGCCGTTTTTAGAGCAAATTGTTACCGGAGATGAAAAATGGGTGCTGTATGTTAATTTGAAAAGGCTGCTTCAATGGTTGGACAAAAATGAGGCTCCGCAGCCCACGCCAAAACCTGACTTGCATGCGAAAAAAGTGATGTTGTGTGTTTGGTGGAATTTTAAAGGAATTCTTCATTATGAACTTTTACCATCTAACCCACATGTGTCAAACACAAGGCCCTCGGGCCAAATCCATCCCGACAGGCCTTGCAATGTGGCCCGCACCGCGCTGTCATCACTGCACTCTCCTGCGTTTCCATCACAATGACAGTTTATGACTATTCAGTAAACCATTCAGCCCGCGATTTAGGCTGGATTTTAGATTTTGGCCCCTTCTCTGATTGAGTTCGACACCCCTAATCTAACCAAACCATTACAAGTGCAGTGTATAGTGCCCAATTGGAAAGGTTAGCCCAAGCTTTAAGAGAAAAAGAACCCGCGCTGATTAATCGGAAGGGCGCAATTCTTCACCACGATAACGCACGACCGCATACTGCAAGAATCACTGCTGAAAAACTGCGCCAGTTGGAATGGGAAGTTCTCCCTCAACCTGCATATTCTCCTGATATTGCCCCTTCCGATTACCATTTGTTTCGTTCTTTGCAAAACTTTCTTCTTGGAAAAAAAGTTAATAATGAAGAATGCCTCAAAAATGCATTGACCGAATTTTTTGCATCAAAATCACAAGAATTTTACAACAGAGGGATTAAAATGCTTCCTGAGCGTTGGGCACAGGTAGTAGAAAACAACGGCAACTATATTGTTGATTAAATTTTGTTGTATTGTTTAAATAAATTCGATTTAAAAAAGTATTAGAAAACGACATTAATTCTTACTAGACCTAATATTTACAATTGCAAAGTAGGGGTTGTATTTGCTATTTAATACGAGTTTAATATGGTTGACACTAAGGCACAGGAAGGCCCCTGTCCTATTCAACAACGAAGGACATCAGCTTCACTGCATTCAGGGTCCTTTGCTCAGGTGGGCGGTGCTCTGCTCCTGGGGGCGGAGCCATCCTCACAGGTTCTCAGAGCGGCTCTCAGCCAAGCCCTGGGGATGGCATTTCAGCAAGAGGAGGAAGCTGCTCCTTCCCAGTTACTGGGACTTCCCTTGGGGTGGGGGGTGGGCTCGAATTATTTTATTTTTTAAATTTGTCTTTATTGTTGAAAGTATTACGGATGTCTGTTGTTTTTCCCCCCATTGACCCTTCCCACCCCGCACCCACCTCTTTCAGGCCTTCACCACACTATTGTCTGTGTCTGTATTATTTTATTAAGCATTAAGTAGCACCAAAAAGAAAAAAAATAATTAAACATAAAAAATTTTAAAAAATAAAATAAAATAAGTCAGGGCACCATGTGTGAGAGCCAGTCATTCGACTGGGCATATTGCTCTCTACCTTTCTTACCATCATGAGGATACAGAGATGATCACAGGAACAGGTGAGAAGTGTTATTAGAGAGGCATCTTGGACAGGCATCCGATTCTGAAGGGATTCTGAAGGGTGTGGGGGTGAGGACAGGAGATGGCGAGTTTTTCCCTGGGGCATTCCCTGAGATAACTTGGGGGTAGGGATGAGAAGGAACACTTCTGGACAGGATACCACAGACCATGAAGCAACAGCTTGTTCAGAAATGCAAGGAAGTTGATGTAGCAAGCCAGGGGCAGGGAGAAGGAGCAGGTAGGGAGAAAGAACTTAACGCAGGCGGCTGGTTTATTTCTCTTTCTCAGGTCAGGTCTCTTTGCTGTACTGAATGGAGGGCCATTATTCTTACCCTGCGTTCAACATTCTTCTCCTTTATTTTCTTTCCCCTCTGAAGTTCTGGTAGCTCACTGGATTTGGCCTTGCATGTCTAAAATGAAACACACTGGAGAGATTTATAGCCAGTTAATTGGCTGTCTCTTCATCAGTTACCCTTGTCTGTTCAAATGAGCATTTTGTTGTTCCTAAATAATACAGCATTCACAAAAGATAATGTAGGCATTTTTGTATAAATTCCATGGAAGACAAAAAGATAATTTCTAAACTTAATAAAAAAGCAGGTTTTTTTTGTTTTGTTTTTTCTTTTCTGAGCCTTACATTTAGGAAAAACAGGAACTTTTAACTTATGTTAATTAAGTAACCAAGTAAGATTAATGAACACCGGCAGGATAAGGCCAGCTGAAGTCATTGTTTATTCTTACTTTCAGGCTGTAGCTTAGAAGTTTTGCACTATCTAAAGTAAAATGATTTGCCCTCAAAATGCCCCTGAATGATTTATGGCCATTTTATACTTTATTGTTATTTTTTTAGCAGATAATTATACATTTAAACTTCCTTGAGAATTCTAAGCTTTTAGTAGTTTTGTGGATAGCTCAGTACATAGCAGCTATTATATAATGATGAAGGGAGCCTGGGACAGGACAGGGGGCAGGTCCCCGGGCAGGGGAGGGTGCTCCTGAGAGGCCGGCTTGCTTCCTCCAGGACAGAGAGCAGTGTCTGTAGGGGGCAGTAACGGAGCATTCATCCGGTGGATCTGTCCACCCCACAGTGCCGAGGGCAGCAGGGAGCAGGAGCGGCTCACCTCTGTGCCAGCAGTGTTCCCGCTGTGGGTTCCCGGGAGAACTGAGCTCAGGAAACTTCTTCCCCTGGACTAAGAGATGACCTCTTGGATCATGGAAAGTCAGATTGGGGAAATACAACCTCACACGGACAGCCTACTTCACCCTTACAAAAAATTAAGTGAAAGCAGCTACAAATAAATGTTTCCCCATCATAGGGCAGGTGGATCATTAGCCATTTGACATAAGGAACAGACCTGGCAGTTTTCTCCCTGCTCCTAACTTTTACCACTAACTTAACAGTGATAAGACTTTTATTATTTTTAAGTTCCTGGCTTCACCAAATAGCTCAAGACTTATAAATGCCATCCACAAAATGAAAGTAATAAAAGAACTATTATCAATTTACAGATAAGTGTATGTATCTAAGGCAATTCAGATTTATTGTAGTGCTTAAATCCAGATTGAAAGAGACAGTGTTATTGTTTCTTATTTTTGTGACGAGTTAATCATTTGTGTTTCTATATCAGAGTTTGCTCAACCTCTAATTCTCTAATTCTTCAATCTTCTGTAAGCCCCAGTGGTCATATATTTGTATTAGAAGACACTACGTAAGAATAAACCCACCTCCTTTTTGTTTTGTTTTGTTTTGTTTTGTTTTGTTATATAAGAATCTCCTTTCTTCCAATAGGAAACTCTTTTTTTTTTTTTAATATTTTGTTGATATTTTACAGAGAGGAAGGGAGAAGGAAAGAGAGCTAGAAACATCGATGTGAGAGAAACATCGATCAGCTGCCTCTTGCACACCCTCTACTGGGGATGTGCCCACAACCAAGGCACATGCCCTTGACCGGAATCGAACCTGGGACCTTTCAGTCCGCAGGCCGACACTCTAACCACTGAGCCAAACCGATTTCGGCCCACCTCCCTTTTTAATCTTCCTTCTTAGGGTCACCCGGGACCACCAGGGCCACAGGGGCCTATTGGACCGCTGGGACCGCCAGGACCCGCTGGGATTCCAGGAGAGAAAGGGATGAGAGGGGTCGGCGGCCCTCCCGGAGCAGCAGGGGATAAAGGAGATAAGGTAAGCCTCTTCCTGAGGGAAAGCTGCCCTTAGCCACCCGCCAGCACTGCTGTGCCAGACTTGTTATAATCACAAGTAGGACCTACTTGTGCCTTATAATAAATTAAGTCTAGCAGCCGCCCTTCCCCAACCCCTCCAGAGAAGCTTGTTTATCTGGATCTTTTCTCTGCAATTAAATGCACGACAGCACCCAGCGGGGAGTAGTACCGGTTCATGGCTTTAAAAAAAACACACCTAAATGATATTATGTGTACCATGCTGGTCTTTTTTTTTTTTTTTTTTTTTTTTTTTTTTTAACTCAACCACTTAACCATGTGACTTAAAAGATCATTGCATATCAATTTATGTCGATTGAACTTATTCCTTTAAAAATACTGTTTAATATGCAGTAGAATGGATAAAGAAAACAATAGTTTCTTCCTTGTTGAGAATTTGAGATCGTGTAGAGCAGGTGTGTAGAGCAGGTGTGAGAAAGCGATCCTGTGAATTACCTGCGCTCACATTTAAAAGTATGCTTCTCCAGGGTTGGGAGATTCTGAGACGTTGAATTCTCAGCTTTAGGGCACTCAATGTTTTATTTCAATCAATGCTGCAAAGTTGGCTTCCTTAGAATAAAAAATATGACCTGGCTGGTTTGGCTCAGTGGATAGAGTGTTGGCGTGTGGGCTGAGCAGTCCTGAATTCGATTCTGGTTGAGGGCCCATGTCTGGGTTGCTGGGGCGGTCCCCAGTGGTGGATGTGCAGGAGGCAGCCAACCAATGATTCTCTTTCATCATTGATGTTTCTATCTCTCTTTCCCTCTTCTTTCCTCTCTGAAATAAATAAAAAATATATTTTAAAAAATTTATGAAAGGTTAATTCTTAAAAATTGGCATTTAAGTGTGTGTGAAAATATGTAACCATGACTGCTAAGTGTTAAAAATAATGAGCATTATTTATTTAGGTTTTTGAGGAAATTAACTTGTTAGTTTAATCACTTAGTAACTTTTGTAACTTTGTTTTATCTTCTGGAATTTTAGGGTCCCACTGGCGTTCCTGGATTTCCAGGTTTGGATGGCATACCTGTAAGTATCCCTACATTTTCTCCACTTTTTCCAAACACTCCTCAAAACCCTTAAAATCATATGTTCAAAAAACATATATGCACATGCCTACTCATAATGACAGTTTTTATTTACTGACAAGTCTTAACTTTTGGAAGTGTGTTTAAGACTCTCATTTCTAATATGAAAGCCACATGAAAGAAAGAAGAGGTATTTTGAGGAGCTTTACTAGTCATTAAAGTCTTTCTAAAATTTAAAGGAAGGTTTCCTCCCAAATCTCCAGAATACTCCAAACTGAATGAATTTATATTGAGGACATATTACAATTTACTTATTGATTTTTACTATGCTACATAGCACTATGGATGGGGACGAAAGTTTCACAAAATTAAGTGGTATGTGAGACATCATTGCCATAATTTGGGTACCCATGCTGCATAAACCTTGTCTTATAGTATTCTTGCAAAACAGTGCTTCATTTATCATTTTGTTTCCTGTAGGGGCACCCAGGGCCTCCTGGATTCAGAGGCAAACCTGGCATGAATGGCTACAATGGCTCAAGAGGTGATCCAGGGTTTCCAGGAGAAAGAGGAGCTCCTGGCCCAGAAGGACCCCCAGTAAGACACCCACAGCTCATCCTAACTGGAATCTTAAGTGAAAGGCCCCACAGTAGGAACAGGCGTGGTGTGCTCAAGAAACAGTTAATACAAGTGTGGGGGAGCATGGTGAACAGGTGGGGCGGCTGGAGGATGAGGATAGAGGTGGGAAGGACCTAGGACAGGCTGTGTTTTCTTTTCCAGGCCATAAGAAAGCTCTGGGCAGTTTTAAGGGAGGAAGCGATATGACCTGATGGATGTGCCATTGAGATGCTCCCGGCTGCTGTCATAGGACCAAAGCTTATGTTTTTTATCATTCAGGGTTCACTGCAGACCTGTGTGTGTGAACTAGCAGATGTGCAGGAACCCGTGACATCAGACTTTGAATGGAGTGATGTGATCAGTCAGTGGTCATGATTCCCATGTCACTTAGGGGTGATCTGCCGACCCATGAGCTAGCAGTGAAGTTTGTGCTCCATGCAGTTTTACTCAGTTAACACAATGGCAACTGGATTTTGAACCATTTATGATAGTTGGAGGACTGGTGCTCTTTTACTCAAAAGGGCGACTGAAATCTCTGCCTATTGGAACTATTGGGGAAAAGGGCTGCAATCTGATTGCTCAAAGGAACTGGTGCCATTAAACCAGGAGTCTCTCCCATTGGAAGCAAAGCCAGGCACTCTTCCAAGAGGGGTCAACTTTGACTTTGCATGTCTTTTGTGGGAGTTTGATATATGAAAATGGTTAACATTTTTATATAGTAACCCAGTTGAGGTATATCAATATATGGGATATTAAGATACCTAATGTGGAAACTTTGGGGGGAAAAAGAATACACTGAGGAATTTTATTCACTTTTTAAAAATACCCTAAATAAACATGCAGCTACATACAAAATACTTACAAAAGGAATATGCTGATTTTTAAAAGTTAATCTTATATAGGGTGCATAGGCTCTATTTTAAGTACAAATAGATTTTGTTCTTAATAGATTTTAACTGAATATTGAATGACTATATATGAGAACCTTAAGGTAATAATGACAATGAAGAGAATAAAGAAATCTTCACTAGTGAAATATAACTATAATGGTAATTTTATTGGTGAGTAATATTTCACATGGGAAATAAAATGCTAAAATACTAATGTGCTTTTCTCCACTGTTAAGTGAATGTTTTATTTTCAGGGCTTTCCTGGGGAAAAAGGAGAAAAAGGAAATTCAGTGTTCATTTCAGGTAGCATTAAAGGTAGTCAGGTAAGCATTCTGATCATGGTGGCTTTAAAATATTTTTTCCCCCAAATAGGTAAACCCATACAGGAAACACACGAATTGAGATTCCCTTTGAAATGTTCCTGAGCATGCTAGGTTTCTAAAAAACATATTGATTTTTAGAGAGAGAGGAAGGGAAAGGGATAGAGAGATAGAAATACTGATCAGAGAGAAATGTCATCAATCAGCTGCCTCCTGCATGCCCCCTACTGGGGATTGAGCCCTCAACTTGAGCATGTGCCCTGACCAGGAATTAAACCAGTGACCTTTTGGTTCATGGGCTGATGCTCAACAACTGAGCCACATTGGCCAGGTGGCACGCTGGTTTTTATCCGCACCCTGGCCCTCTGGATGGCACCATTCTTCTTGTGTGAAGCACTTGGCTTTAGCTACTCTGGCTGTAACATTCTAACACATACCTCTCCACTATTTTTTGCAGAGTGGCAATGGAGACACCATTTCAGGGTTTCTCAACCTTGGCACTATTACATTTGAGGCCAGATAGTCACTTGTGTGAGGCCTATGGACTATAGACTATGAAACAGTATCTCTGGCCTCTACCTGTTAGATGCCAGTAGCAACCTCCACCCATACAATATCTCCAGACATTACCAAGTGTCCCATTGGGAAGAAAAATTACTCCCAGTTGGGAAGCACTATTTTATTTGTAGTTAAAATGCGATATGAATACTTGCATCCCAATGTACTAGAAGTCATCACTTTGATTGAACTGAAAAATTATGGAAACCTTATAGTACTCTCCTTATAGTACTCTCAGTAAACCCACTGAGGATTAAATGGATAAACAGAAAGTGGTATATACATACAATGGAATATTGCTCAGTCTTTAAAGAGAAGAGTATCCTGACTCATGGTACAACATAGATGATCCCTGAGGTCTTTATGCTGAGTGAAATGAGCGGGTCACAGAAGGACAAATAATGTGTGATTCCATTTATATGAGGTTCCTAGAGTACTCGGATTCATGGAGACAGGGCATGGAAAGGTTTCTGCCAGAAGCTGGGGGAGAGGAAGGGGGAGTTAGTATTTATTGTGAACTGGGAAGAGTTTACCTTGGGGAAGATGGAGAAGCTCTGGGGATGGATGGTTATGATGGTTGCACAACATTGTGAATGTACTTAATGTCACAGGACTGTCCACGTAAAAATAGCTAAAATGTAAACTTTCATCTAGCATTTATTTTACAATATGTTCTATTTGACATTTGAAAAAGACCCTGCAGTCCCTTTGATTCTTTAGAGTAAGAGGAGTCTCAGGGCAGAGCCACCAAGAGGCAGATTAGCACACCATTCCCTTTACCTTTTATTCTAGGACAGTGGTCAGCAAACCATGGCTCTTGAGCCACATGCGCGGCTCTTTGGCCCCTTGAGTGTGGCTCTTCCACAAAATACCACGTACGGGCGTGCACATTCAGTGCGATTGAAACTTTGTGGCCCCTGAGCAGAAGTTGGTTTTCGGCTCTCAAGAGAAATCTCAATCGTTGTCCTGTTGATATTTGGCTCTGTTGACTAATGAGTTTGCCGAACACCGCTCTAGGATGACCAACAGAGCAGGGTGTCTATAAAGGGAGGCAGGGTCTGGCACGTGGACTAGAGACAGACTGTGATAAAAGGGGACCATTGGGTTTAGAACATTTTAAATCGAAAGTTGAAACCTCATCTTGACTCCACGTGCTCAGGACCGCAGCACCTGCCTCTAGTTTCAGCTGAGTCGAAGCAGAATTTGGGCCTAAGATTGGAGGCCCATGATCCTCTCTCCACAGAGCCTTCCACAGTTCTCTTCTCAACTGGGAAAAATTGAACAGACTGTACGTTAGGCCAAACCGTGGGTGTGTGTCTACTTTTACATCACGTGTTTTAGGAAATGGTGTTGCTTTTTTAAAGCAATGTGTCATTATTGCAGGGTGACCCAGGGAACCCAGGACCTCCCGGCTTACCAGTAAGTCTGAGCGGGCATGTGCTTTTGTGTGATCCAGGTAGCCTCCTGTCCCCACAGTTTGTATGTATCACAGCAGGACCAGCTGAAAAACGTGTGAGACACCGCCCTTTCCTTCCCTCCCCCCTCGCCCAGTGCAAAATGAACATGTAGGGCCCCGTGTTCAAAAAGCATGAAGAATGTCAGGGTGGTGAGAGCAGAGCATAAAGTCAAGCACGAAACCCCATCTGACTGCACAGGTCACACCCGAGGCCGTCCTGGAACCTTGGCAAGCTTCCAATTCCTCCTCTTCTATATTTCAATAATCATTTGCTGATGTACATATGGTCATTGATATTTAGAAGAGAAGTCTGCCCAGACACTAATATATGCCAGGCAGAAAGACTGCTGAATCAGTCATTGCGTGTCATATTTAAAATTTAGGACCATTTTCATCTCCCTGAAATTTGTAACTCAATGATTATATTAGTCTTTCCATTTTACCAATGTTTACAAGATTACAACTTAAATCAGTTTCCACTTCCCAGTTGTTAACCCATAATTTTGCTTGGTGACTTCTGGCTGTAGACAAGAGTACTTACCCAGGTTGATTTCCTTCCTACCTCCAAAAGCTTGGCTCTATGCCAGTGTTTCCCAAACTTTTGACCTATGTGTACCCCTTCTATAATTTTCGTAATGCTGAGTACCCCTCATACTCAAGAGAACATAGAATTAGGCACAGCTAAGCACGGTGCAGTGCATATCCCCACCAAACTCCGGTGCAACGCGTACCCCCACCAAACTCTTCCTGTACCCCTGGGGGTACGAATACCACACTTTGGGAAACACTGCTATGCCATTAATGAGATACCTTGATGTTGCTGTTCAAATAAAAACAATTGCATTCTCCTGAAGAGAACACTTTCACTGCACACTTGCAAATCATTTGGCAGGGTCAGTGGGAGAGCAGAGAGCCTTTCTCCACAGCTGTCCTTGTGGATCTCTGTAATCATGCCACAATTTACAGGTTACAGAAAGTTGACTGGTGGGTTAAACATCGTGATCACAAACTTGGGACAGCATTTCTATTCACACTGATCTGAAAAGGCACGCTTAAAAATATATCAAAGAATATAAATACATTCATATTTTCATATATTAATGCTAATTAATGTTAAAAACTAAAAAGCATCCTGCTGTATATCAGAGTTATATATAGAATTTAGGAGTAGCCAGTAACAAGCTTCTTTGTTCTCTAGCAATGCTATTACAACATTTATCTGTAAATAAGTAGATTGATTTCTTTTGTTGAATTTGATCCTGACATAGGAATTTGTCACACTACATCCGAGGCAGAGCTGCTGGGAAGACAGCTGCTCCAGCAGAGGATGTGCTGGGACTGTGATTCCTTTGGAAGTTTATATCCACTTGGGATTACATGCAGCAATTGCTGTGAATGATGATTATGGATTTGGGTAAAAAATGCACTTGATTTTTCTCATGTTTAGGGATTAAGGGGTGCTACAGGACCAGCAGGCCCAATGGGAGTCGCAGGAGAGCCGGGGTTACCGGTAAGTACAGCCCCACTCATGCTGCTTCTCTAAAAACCAAGTTCCGCCAAAACTGGTTTGGCTCAGTGCATAGAGCGTCAACCTGCGGACTGAAAGGTCCCAGGTTCGATTCCGGTCAACGGCATGTACCTTGGTTGCAGGCACATCACCAGTGGGGGGTATGCAGGAGGCAGCTGATCGATGTTTCTCTCTCATCGATGTTTCTAACTCCCTATCCCTCTCTCTTCCTCCCTGTCAAAAATCAATAAAATATATTTAAAAACAAAACAAAAAACAAGTTCCCATCGTGGGCTCTTTGAGAGGACATCACCTGATAAGAAAGTGCACGCCCACTCCCTACCTGTGTGAGTTCATCGAGAAGAATCTCCCCCCCCCCCCCCCGGGGTATAACAAGCAGCCTCCCCCATGGGTGAAGCTTATGAGTGTTTTTAAGTAAATTAGAGGTTTCCTAAAGAGGAATTGGGACAACCAACAAAGACACATTCTGATCTGCAATTGACCTGTGATTTGTATGTTTTTGACATTGATTTAGGGACCTCGAGGACATCCTGGGAGTCCGGGTGTGAAGGTAGGCAGCCATGAGGAAAATATACAAAGAGGATTCAGGTACAGTGAGACTAAACAACCACTGATGTCTTTCCTCTCACTAGACTTCCCAGTGTATTTAATAAGTGAACTTCAAAAAATTTATTGGCCAGAAGTCTTGCTTGTAATTATTCCTGTAATATTCAAAAGCAATTCAATTAATTTGTTTTTTTCTTTCTCAGGGCAATCCTGGCATGGGAGTCAAGGGGCAGATGGGAGACCCGGTAAGAACCCCTTTAGCCTGGAGAGCAGATGTTGACATGTATGTGCTGCCCGAGTTGTGGAGGCTGTTCTGGTGATCACGTAACTGCGTTCATTGTCTTATCGCTGCCCAATGCAATGGCTGCGAACTTTTCTTTGCCGAATTATTATGGTACCATTACCCTTGACTATAAAACGACATTTCTGACAAAATTAAACTCTAAACCAGAGTCCATTTATATGATACACTTCACCCCAGCAGGAAGAGAGTGAACATTTTTTTTATTCTATATTATATTTGGAGTAGCAATTTTGTTTAGTTACTGATTTGCTTGCCTTAACTTTATAATTTTATCAAAATTCCAAGTTTTACACATAAACAAAAACATAAATAACCAGAACCAGAGCACTTAGCATTTATGTTTAACAAGTGTGTATTAGTTATGAAAAACAATAAATGTTTCAAATGACATCATTTATATGTCATGGTTTTAGTTTTAAATCCATGACATACGGATTTTAGCATTGCATCACAATCCATGGGTGAAAGCCTTCCTTGTACTAAATTTTACTTCAAAATAAAGTTTATATGAAATTCCTATTATCTTGATTTTTTTCCCCCAAGGGTGAGGTTGGCCAGCAAGGTTTTCCTGGACCAACCCTACTGGTACAGCCACCTGATTCTTGTCTCTATAAAGGAGAAAAGGTAATTCCCAGTCCCTGTGTTACTTTGGTAAAGTGGTGCTAGCCACCACTGCCTGGACATGTACTTGAGCCAGCCAAGTCCTGAGCACCTACACCTATCACTGCATTAATCCCAACCCCACCTTAACAGGTTTGCACAATTAGCCCCCTGTACAGAGTTGAAAAATGAGGCTTGAAAAGATTTCCAGTGTTTTTCAAGTTTACCCAGACCTAGCTTGGGCTGCTCATCTGTAACATGTCCTTCATCACATATGCCCTATTAATATTGTCTTTGGTATGTGGGCTGACAAAAACACTGTAAGTCCAGTTGTCTTTAGATGTTACATCTGGGCTTGATGTTTTGATGATAGAAAAGGAAACTGACACCTAGAACTGGGCACATAATACACTCTTGGTAAGGATCAATTCCTCTGTTAGCCTCCAGTGCTGATGTTATGGATGTCACCTGCAGGCTCTGTTGATGATGTTCAGTTACTGGATTAAATTTTACTAATTGGCTCAAAATGAGGCATTCCTCTCAGTGGCTGCATTCTCAACATGCATCTGTTGCCGTGGCTCTGTGGTCATTCCTCACCTGTGCCCCAGAAATCACACCTCTCATATAGAACTGGCCCCAACAGTGTCCGGCTCATAGGTGCTCCCGGACCTTAGTTACTAATTAACGACAGTTGAAGAGTAATTTCTTATTTAAAAAATTAATACAACGGATGTTTAAAGGCAATTTCTGAGATGGAATTCAATGGGTTAAATAATAACAATAAGCCGGATTACATTCATTATGACTTTTAGGGTGTAAAAGGAATACCTGGGATGATTGGACCTCCAGGACCTCCAGGACCCAAGGTAACTTATTGAAGTCACTTTTCAATAAATCTGTATGATGTGCTTTCTTAATTTTTTTAATTGTATTCTTTATCATTGCTTTAAATGTCAATATATGTTACTAGAATTTGTCACTATTTTATCATAATCCTGTAGGGTTTCTATTATAAAGCGTTGATTTCTTTAACTTGCTGGCAACAGTTTTTATTTCTCATTTTGTGTTTGCATTCTCTATTGCTGAGATATTGTTGTTTGAACGCTTGTAAATGCCATCTTTCTAAGGGAGAACCTGGTTTGGGGGAAAAAGGAGAAAAGGGCATCCCTGGCTTCCCAGGCCCTCGGGTAAGGACCGTTCATGCCACCCTTAACTTCAGTGAGTATGGAGGCATTTCTTTCTTACATTTTTATAAACCTAGATCACTGCTTCTGAGAGCTCAAGAGTGGGATTATTTCAAATATCAACAATAGATTTTTGGCAACAAGAATTATGTAATAGCTCAAAGTCCCAGAACACCCCTTCTATTGACATCATTTAGATAAAAGTGGCAAGCAGGAGATAGAAGAATTGGAGGGAAGTACCAGGATTGTGGCATTTCCTGTCTGGCTCAGTGTCAGTGTGATAGTAGCTTGGAATTGTTCATTTAATCTTATTTGATAAAAGGAAGTACTGATGTAGGGGCAGGAGCCAAAAAAGAAGCACAGGATCAGGCCTCAAACATCACCACACATGTCACTAATGTGGTCCCCATTCCTACAGTGACTATCGAGGCCAGACCCTGTGGGCATGGGTATTGGGTTTATTTGGCTCTAGATTTAGTGCTGAGTGGGACAAAATTGGATTCCATGGTAATTTCTATCACTGATAATGCTTAGAGCAACTATTAATCTGAAGGCAAATTATATTGCAATGATTTCAAAGATTTTTAGACCAATGCAAGCATTAAGTTAAATAAACTAAAATGGAACAGTAACAACAACAAAATGTGTTTTTTTTATTTAAAGCACTGGTGAGGACATACATTTTTTAAAATAAGACTAAAGACCAATTAAAATAGTAAATGTGGTAAAGAAATGAAATCTACTTTATATTTATTTTCTTTTATTCAAGAACCTTAGTGGATAAGATGAACTATGCCTGGTGCAATCCCATCATGAGAAACAGGATTCCTTGAGCTGGTGGATGAATTTTAATTTAATTCACTTTGTGTCATTTTTTGTGTGAATTTATTAGGGTGTCCCTGGCTCCCATGGATCTCCAGGCTTTCCAGGATTAAAGGTAAGTGCACAGCATGGATATGATAAATACACTTTCATTAGTAAATGCAATTGAGTGTCATTCAAAAGTTGGACCAGTGCATGCAAACACACATGCAGAATTAGAAAGGGAGACACATTCACTTTATGAAATTACATGTTTTAGCTGTGGGTGCAAAGACTAAAGCACAAAACTGTTGCAATCCCAAAGTAGTGTTTAGATATTAAGATTTTGCACTGAATCTCTGTGAGTGTGCGTCACTCAAATGAAATGACAATGAGATAATTTGTCACCTAATTACATGTTTTATAAAAGGCATGTTTCTGGTTATTTATAGGGCAAACAAGGACTGTTTGGAACACCTGGGTCATTTGGATTTCCTGGTCCAAAGGTAAAAACAGTGAACCTGTTAGAGTATCTCCCTAACAAAATTCCACATCCCTTATGTTGTACAATATAGGTTTTTAAAAATATTTCAAAGAATGATTCAAAAATGTAACTTTTGAAAGAGACAGAGTTAATTTTGTATGCATTATTTTATTGCATGTTGTAATGATTACATTTTATATTTGAGCAATGATCCTTTTGAAAGTTTAAAAAATTCAAAGGGGATCATATAGCATCTCGATTAAAACCAGAGGGAGCTGTGGAGAGCTCTTTGCTTTTACCACCACTGAATTGTTTCTTTGCAACCTCTGTGACCTTACATTCAGCTCTAGCCCAGGACAAGCCATGTTAGCACTTAGAGTCCACAATGAAGGGGATCATATTTTGCTGTTAAAATAACATGTGGATTCAGCTCTTGTAGGTGAATAATTTGAATTGGTCTTGAATTTGTCCTAGAGTGTCAAATCAGACATTAATGCTCATGATATATTTAAGAAACTTTATGACTTCAGAGGTATCTAATTTATGAGAATGGAATAACTTTATTGGAGATAAAAACATTTTCTTTTTTTTTTGTTAATCCTCACCCGAGGATATTTTTTCCCATTGATTTTTAGAGAGAGTGGAAAGGAGGGGCAGAGACAGAAAGAAACATTGATGTGAGAAACATCGATTTGTTGCCTCCCATATGTGGAACCTAAATACATGCTCTTGACTGGATTCTAACACAAGACCCTTTAGTCCATTGGCCGATGTTCAACTAGTGAGCAAAATTGGTGAGGGCCATTTTATTTTCTCTTGAGATAACTTTTCTAGTTGGTTGGTTATTTCTGTTTAGGGAAGAGGCTGAATGCCTGATTTTCCTAGAGGTCCATGAACTATCTGTTTCTCTAGTCTGCATATAGTCTTTATTTCTTACATGAATGGACTCTTGGTCCTTACAATATTTATTTAGTGCTAAATACACTGGCTCATGGTAATATTTGATGAAGAGCCTGGGAAATAATCCTACAAGAAAATATCCCAATGTCTAAGAAAAGTCAATGAATTAATGATTCTAGGGGGATCCCGGAGACCGCGGGTACCCAGGACCGCCAGGGGTATTGACGACTCCACCTCTTCCACTCAAAGGTTTGTGTTTCATTTAGGTCCTCCATTAATAATGTGGAAATGGGATTTGAGTATCCCTAACAGAGGAATATGGCCCAGTATTGCCATAGTTTGCAGGCTAAATAAGTGAACTTCAGCGTGAATCTATAATTATTCAAGTGCAGGTAGAGATGTGCATCTTGGTTAATCTCTAATAGCAGATGACATCAAATTTTATTTTAGTATGTACACTGTATGCTGGTTTTTTTTTTTGTTTTTTGTTTTGTTTTGTTTTTTTTTTTTACTATGTCACCTTTCAGAGTGTAGGGATTTTTAGCTATTAAAATATATGTAAAACCATTTGACTTAGACCTACCGAGATGGCACCTGCCAGACCAGAGCGGCCTAAAACAATGACAGACAGCACCACTCCAAGGTCATACATCTGCAGACCAGATGAAAGGCTCATATCTAAGACATAACATTTAAAATGTGGAGGGAAACTGTAAAGCAGTCTCCTAGTTGTATTTCAGCAAGCGTCACAGAAAGTACTTGTGTGTGGATTTTAAAATTTAGGTATATGTTTATTATAGTCACAAGTGTCATTCTTTTTGGCAGGTCCTCCTGGGGACCCAGGACTCCCTGGCCGCTATGGAGAAAAGGGGGCTGTTGGGTTCCCCGGTCTCCCCGGCCCCTCGGGTCGACCAGGGGAAACCTGTCCAGGTATGAATCCACTGGCTGTAAACCAGGTCTGCTACATCCTCCTCTGCACTGGAGGTTTTCAACTCTAGCTGACACTGAATCACCTTAAGAGTGTTTCAAAACACCGAGGGCTGTCTCTATCCCAGACCAAGAATGTTGGACTCCCAGGAGCAGGGACCCAGGCATCTGCTGTTATTAAAGTGCCTCCTATTTTTAACGGACAGCCAGGGTTCAGAACCACACACTCCATCCAGTTAATCACTTGCTTGGAAGAAACCCAGGTTCCTGGGCTGCACTTCAGAAATATGCAGTCAAGGTCTCAGGGGTTTGGTGAGGAATGTGTCTGCATAACAGGCTTCCCAGGACAGCATCACTTGCAGACGAGATCTGGGAACCACGATAGGCTTCCCTTGTTTATTTGGGTCTTCTCCACGCTCTTGGAGGGCTCTCCTTTTGATACCTAATTGTCAAAATTGACTTCGTCCATCTGTTTCCAACTTAAATTTCCCACGTGAAATGTGGAAATACAAATCTCAAAAAGTAATTTTGATTCAGTTTAAGTTAAACACACACACACACACACACACACACACACACACACACACAGCAAAACAACAATCTTCCTCTTTCCCTCCTCAAAAAAAAAAAAAAATCCATATATATGCTTTTCTCTTTTCTCTCTTTCCACCAAGGGGAAACTAGATTCATGAAAAATTAAATAAGAAGGCTGGAACTAGCAGTTGAATATTTCAGGAAACTTCTTAATCCTCCTGGAAAATATAAGAAGAAGCATAGACTACATGGAATTACATTTATTCAAGACTGTTCCTCTCACATGTTTAATCAGTTCTCCTGTGCTGTCAGAATGCAAATATCCTCTACATTTCTGTCCCTAATCTTACTAGGAATAGTAACCAGCACAACACTTGAAGGAGTTCCAAGTCCTTAGGTCAATAGAATTATTTCCCAGGCTCTTCATCAAATATTACCATGAGCCAAGCGCCTCCCTCCTTTCTCTCCTATAGCCTCAGGCCTCCTTGTGGGTTTATACTTCACTTAGGCTGGCTTCCTTACAACGTGGTGGCATTGGCACAGTGGGCTTGCTTCTATGATGGTCAGGACTTCTGGCCCAAGTGTTTCAGCTCGCATGGCATAAACGGAATCACATTTAATAATGCAGCCTTGGAAACCATTGTGCCACTCCCACTGTGCTCCATGAGCCTCAGCAATCACAAACGCCTGCCACATGCAAAGGGAGGTGCGGGGGCCTGATGGCGGGGATCTCCCTTTTCCATATCCCGCAGGGAGAGATGAAGGAACCAGTTCTAAGTGGAGGTGGCCAGGGATTGAGAAATAATAGAAATAAAGAGAGAAGACACAGAGATAGATTTTAAGCTGAGAGCTGGGAGGGTCACCGACCTTCTCTGCTGGAGAGGCAGATGACGATCTCCTGAGCCACACAGCACATCTATTTATTCTCCAATCCAACAAGGGGTTTCACAGGAAAACAAGGAGCCTGGGAGAGCCCAGGTCCCACCCACTCCTTTCTCCTGGACAAACACAAGCCAGGAACTAAGAACATCTCCATACAACCAGGATGGGAGTGCAACTGACACGACTCTGCCAATATCCCGGGCCCAGTCAGCAACAATCTAAAGAATATCCAAGTGTCTTCCCAAAGTCAAAGTTCCCCAATAACATGAGGAACAGAGCACCACATGGCCATCTTTGAAAACTGCTGTCTTCCACAAAAAGATTCTAGAGCCAGGGTTGCTTAGGAAGACACGGCTAGGACAAGTGGTCACCGTCACACAAAGGCTTCCAGCAAAGCCTCCAGAGAGGGAGTAGAATGTCAAGGGAAAGCAGGCTTTAGCTTCTGCTGCATTACTCACTTTGACCTCCTCTGAGCACACTGAAAACTAAGCGTTCGATGAGCACGTGCTTTTGCCAGATATTGCACTAAGCTTCGCAGGTGGATTTTTTAAAATTTAATCCTCAGAACAGGCCTCTGAGACAGGATTAAAGATGTTAAGTACCTGTGGCCAGAGAGGGAGAGAGGAGGGTTCAAATTCAGCACTTCTATGTTTCCCACCAACCTAGATTGCCATGGTGCTTCATGTCCTATGTAGGTGGTTTTTTGAGTCCATAAAAGTATGGACTCTAAATGTGCTAATATGCTTATTGATATTATTTTTACCAAGTTATCAAGGTGGAAAGGTTGAAATAAATAGCTTTAATAAGATCATATATATTTCTTTCCCAATAATCCTAAAGAATGGGAAAAGGAAAGAAAATCTGATTCCCCAAATCTGTTTGTTTCTACTTAACATGCTTGTTTCATAGGGGGTGAGGCATTTTGATGACGAGGATATTCAGTTATTTTTTAATTACATTTTTTCCTTTTTAAAGACTCCCTCAGTCCAAGGCAGAATGTACTGCTTTGATTTCTAACAGACACCTTTAATCTGAGAGTCTGTGTGGTTTTCATTCTTGGTTTCTCTTGGAGGCATGATGGGACTCCCTGGGCCACCAGGCTTACCTGGGCATCCGGGAGTTCCAGGGGCAGCTGGCCCTCCTGCGAGACCTGATTCCGCCCCAGGAAAACCAGGGGACCCGGGACCCCCCGGGCTGCCGGGAGCACCAGGACGTCAGGGACCTCCGGGATCGGATGGTAAAGTGCTCCTCCCTCACAGCCATTAGCATTGATGTTGAACGTGATATCTGTAGTGTCATTCAGAAAATGTGACTTTCTAAATATTTTTAAAATGTCTTCATATTTCTCGAGCCAAGTTTTGTGGTATTAATACCACAAAAAATAAACTGATCTTATAGTTTCAATGAAAGCATATGAAACTATTTGGTGGAGAATTTAAGTGTAATGATAGAATTTTGTAAGTTAATACAATTTGTGTGTGTGTGTGTGTTACTGTAGTTTGAATTTTTATCAGAACTATGATGGACCTGGCTTAGGATTCAAACAGTTCTATAATGCCAGTATGGTGAACTGCCATCCTACACAACCCCTTCTCCTGTTTCTTCTTGGATCTTTGGTTGTCTCTATGTCGCCATTCAATACTTGTATTGTTATTTCTTAATTTTTTGGTTTGAGCATTATCTTTTGCATTCCCTTTATACAAGATACATTTAGTTCTCTTTCCCTCCTTCCCAATCACACATGTGCACACTGGAAAATATTGTTAGTATCCTAATTTCAGTTAAATAAATAAATACTCAGTGTTTACAATGAATAGTTATAAAATGCCATTGACCAATTCTGCCATAATACTATCTGTCATTACTTTTCTAGCATGACATTTTGCTAACAATTGTCTTGTTTTCTTTGTGTGTTTGCTAATTCAACCTGAACCCACTTTGAATTGTAGAAATATCCCACTAGTACATTATAACTAATTAAATATTCTATCAGTGTTACCTCTTGAAATAAATCTCTCCTGGAGTTTTTGAGCTGTTCAAATTAGGTCAGGTTTCATTTTTAATCAACTGCTGAGATACTGTCTTGAGATATACCTTCACCATTATTCTGGGCACTCTCTCTTTCTCTGTCTCTGTTTCCTATCACATATATTTCTTTCACTCATTTACTCTCTCATTATACTTCTTGAGAAAAAGCATGAATTTGGGGATCTTACATGTCTGAAAATAGCATTAATCTACTGTAAAATTTGATCAATTTTATACTAGTTTGGCTGAGTATAAAATTCTAGGTTGGAAATATTTTCCCTCAAGTTTTTAAAAGCATTCTTCATTGTCTTCTAGCTTGCGGTGTTGTTGTTTTTTTTTAAACATTCAGTAACATTTAGATACTTGACATTTGTTTGAAATCTGTTTTCTGTAAAAACTTATGAGTTTTCATGTCCTTAAATTTCACAGTGATTTACCTTTTTGTGTGTGTGCATTTGCATGTATTTGCTTGCATGTAGTGGGTACTTTCAATCCAACACAAATCTTCATTTTAAAAATTTATTAAACTACTTATTTGAAGCTATTCTATCCTCTTCCCACTCTCTGTTTTCTCTTTCTGGACTCTATAGATTTGTCAATAAAATCTTTGATCTATTATTTTTTACTTTTTATTTTTCTGTATCACTTTCTAGGAGATTTTTCTCATCTCTGTCTTTCAACTTTGCTCCTGCATTTTTAAATTTCTGCTGCCATATATTTTTTTCCAATTTTCAAGGATTTGTTGTTGCTTGTGTTCCCTTCTAATGGTTCCTTCTGCAGCAGCCAGTTTATGTTTCAGGGATAAAATGTCTTCTTTCGCCTGCTTTTATAATTACATGGTTTCTTTTAAAGTTTTCTTCCCATTGCACTGTTTTCTGAAGCTTTGCAGGGTTGTTGTTTTATCATGCTGCAATTTTTGAGAAAGAGATCTTGTTTGAGGCCTCATTGTCTACTTCAGAGGTTGCAATTCCTAAATTTTGGGAGGGATTTCTGATATAAATTGTGTTCTTTCTTCACTTTCCTTACTGCCTGCTTAGAATTCAGCTTTTTTAAGGGTCTGCTAAGTCTTTTTATGTTTTTGCCATTGTTTCCTTTTCCTTAGTGAAGGTTTATGCCTTTTTATAATATTCTTTTACTGTATGCTATTTTATTGGAGTTTGGAGAGAACAAGGAACTTACAGTTTGCATTCTGCATGTCATCCTTAATCAGGTATCTCCTAAGTTTTCTTTTCACAAGGTCTGATTCATGCTTTCTTCATTAGGTAATTATTGATTACCTAATGAAGGGAAATAGATCCTTGTGATACACTTACTTTAGTGTTTTGTTTGTTTTGTTGTTGTCCATTGCCTTGCTCTGCAATCCACTAATTAGTGCTGAGATTAGTGTGACTTTACCAAAGGTTATGGTGGCAGAACATACTGTGACAATTATATGTCTATTCTTATATCAAAGAGAAAGAATCAAAAGAAATGAAAGAAAGAATGTGCTGAGGGGAAGATGTGAGTGCAAGAGACACTCCTAACTTGGCCTGTAGGAGACATTCATAAAACTGTGTGATTCTCTCTGCCCATCCCCTTTCGCACTGTAAAGTTATATATTGTAGTGTTGGACACCCTGGACCACAAGGACCAAAAGGCAAAATGGGTCCTCCAGGAAGAAGAGGCTCAAAAGGAGAAAAAGGCAAGTATGCTGCAAAGGTAGCATTCCCAGAAGCAACAGCAAGTGCAGGATTGCGAGGCACTTACCACGCATACAATGTGGCATTTCAGTTAGATTTGTTACTGCCCTTAGTTATCCCTGGTAAATAGTCCACGTCATTATATGCTCATCCTGTGATTAGAGCTTTCCGAAAAGTCAGCCCCTAATATCTTAGAGAATAAAGGAGAGACTTACCAGGAAATTTTCCTCAAAGTAATAGTTTTTCCATGAAATCCTCTTGATTCCTTTAAAGAAGCAGAGAAAGAACAGTATTGATCTTTAGTTTCCCTCTGTGGGACCCCTATTCCCCAGACACATCAAGTGCATATGGCTCTGTTTCTCTGCCCTGAGTTGTTTGGTGCCTTTTTGCCCACCTGAGTCAGGTGGGTATGAGAGCTGAGGAGTTTGACTATTATAAAGACACTTATTTTGAGATTAGAAGTCCTAATAATTACATTGTAGTGAGTTATCAATTGTAATGTTCAGTGCAGTCAATGTAATCCCTCTTCACATTTTCTTTTGCTTCTTTAAATGTTCAGGGTTTATGCTGTAACTGAATTTCTGTTGTTGATTCTTTAACAGGAATCAACCAAAAGACCTTTCCCCCCATAGGAACCAAATAAGAGACAAACTTTTTTTTAAAAAAAGAAGCTTTCTTATTATTAAAGTTTTGTAATTAGAATTGGACATCAGCTTTTACCCTAGAATTCATCAGGGTGACTTTATTAAGATTCAAAATACCCCATTTGTATAGAAGTGATATATCCACCCCATTTAGCCCATACCTAGGTACACTCCCCTCCCATGCCCATGCCCCATAGCACACCTTATCAGTTCTGCTAAAAGAATTATGCACATTAGACTCTTTTTATCTTCACGATTTGTTTTGTATTTTAAAGCCTTTATTGGGATTTTATTCAGGAATATGACAAAGCTGCCTTTTATCCTTTGTCTAGGAAATGAAGGGCTCTGCGCCTGCAAGCCTGGTCCCATAGGCTCGCCAGGCCCTCCAGGACTTCCTGGGAGGCAGGGGAGTAAGGGAGACCTGGGGCTCCCTGGGTGGCCTGGAGGAAGAGGTCACCCAGGCCTCCCTGGTGCTGAAGGATCTCCAGGGCCACCAGTGAGTAATTCTTACCAGTAACAATCTTTCTAGTTAAAAGGGTCATATAGAATTCAGCAGGACCTGATTCTATTATATTTTGTTTTGAACCTTTAAATATATCAATCCCCCCAAATCATCTGTATTCATTCATTCATTCATTCATTCATTCATCTATCCATCCACCCATCCATCCATTTAATTCATATTTATTGAGCACCTACTATGTTCTAGATATTATTGTAGGTGCTGGGGATGCAGAGGGGCCTCTACTCTGTTGGAAGGACATACACTATATACTAGTAACATACTGATGCATAAATATACAGTATGGCAGGTGGCGATAAAGGGCAACACCATCTGGTGTGGCTTGAGTGGAGAGAATGAAAGGAAGAGCAGAAGGAGAGGAAGTCAAAGAAGTGGCTGGAGGATAGGAGGGTTGCTGAGCATGGGCTTTGTGAGTGGGTTGGATTTGAGTATTTACTCTGGATAACACAGAACAGCCAGTGTTAAATTTTAAGAAAAGAAAGACATAATGTGACATTGATTTCCAATGGATCATCCTTGTGGCTCTGTTAAAAACAGACTGCAGGGGACAAGGGAAGAAGTAGGTGGATTGTGGCAACCATCCTGGTGCAGTATGATAGAACAGAGATTAACATGATAGTACATACAGCACACGGGCGGGGGAAAGTGGTCAGATTCTGGATATATTTTGAAGGTAGAGCTAACAGGTTGGCTGTTAGACTGGACATGGTACATGAGAAAAAGAGACATAAAGGATGAAGCTAAGATGTCGAAGACAATGTGAGGAGCAGGCGTGGCTTCGTGAAAGGAAACAGTATCAATGGAGACATTTTACATTTGAGATGCTTAGTGGGCAACCAAGTGGAGATGCTGAGTAGGCAAGGGGTTTGATAATCAAGTTGAGGATTCAGATCAGAGGTAGAAGCTGGAGATATAATCTTGGCATTGTCAGAGTTTATGTGATATTTAGTGCCAGAGAGTGGATGAGGTGTATCTCAAAATGGCTCTCATTTGCTGACCATTGCAATGACTCAGATGGAGGCATAGCCTTTCAGCTGTCCCTCAGAATAAAATCACTGCCCCTGGGACTCTCCCCTGGAGGCTGGAGACAGCCCTCCTTCCCCTCCTTGCAGAGAAGACATTTTTGTTGCTGCTGGGATTTTGTTGTGTTAACACATGCGTTTAGTGATCTCAGGTCTTAGAATTGTAAAGAGCAGCTCTTGATCCCAAAGTGGCTGGGAACCCCTCTGCCCCAGGTATTTTTTAGATTCAACATTTGTTTCCCTAGAGTCTCAGGGCCATGAAGGCAGGGCAGTCTTTAATTGCTGTGTCCTTGAGTGTGGCTCTTCCACAAAATACCATGTGTGGGCACGCATGTGCAGAGCGATTGAAACTTCGTGGTCCATACGCAGAAGTCGGTTTTCAGCCTGGGCGAGTCTATTTTGAAGAAGTGGCATTAGAACACTCAAGGGGCCAAAGAGCTGCATGTGGCTTGCGCACAGCGGTTTGCCAGCCAATGCCCTAGTGCATTGTCAAGACCAGGAAACAAACAAATTTCTATCAACTCAGGTATAGACCTTATTCAGATCTACTAGCTTTTACATGAAATTTGAGAACCTTAATTTTGTAAGGTAGGACCCACCTCATAAGTCAAGGAAGAGGATGTGATCAAATGTGCCAAACTAGAATCCAGAATAGGTGATTCGAAGGAAAGAAGAGAGAGATTAGAGACACACAAATGTGCGTAATCTTTGACCCCTCACAATTAAACTGACCCGTTGCTATGATTTTTTTACCAAGGGAAAACCTGGTGCCCCAGGACCACCTGGCAACAAAGGAGAAAAGGGAGACATGGCTGTATCAAGAGTTAAAGGTGAGCCTCGTTGATCACTTAACTGCCATCTTATGAATTAAATATGAACCACCCTCCTGCAATAATTTCCCCTGTGACCACAGATAGATTCTTTAACCAAATTTAGGATTATTGAGATTTCTTAAAAAATACTCTCTGTCCTTCACAAAGTCATGTGAATGTTGAACTTCAAATCCTCTGTCTCTTATCTGAAAACATAAGTGCTCCTTTAGTCATATTTTCAACTCTTTATTGTTGTGTACTTGGGTTTGAAACAGCCCTCCTTTAATGTGCCCAGTGTTTAGTCACTGCATTGTATTATCCTCTAATAATCAAGAGTATTTTGGCTGTGACAGAAATCCAGCTAGAAGTATTTTAAGAAGAAAAAGTAATTTATTGTTATCCTACCTGGTTTGGCTCAGTGAATAATAGAGTGTTGGCCTGTGAACTGAAGAGTTCTGGGTTTGATTCTGGTCAAGGGCATATGCCCAGGTTGTGGGCTCAACTCCCAGTAGGGGGTGTGCAGGAGGCAGCTGATCAATAATTCACTCACATTCTCTCTTCCCTGTCCCTTCCTCTCTGAAATCAATAAAAATATATATTTTAAAAAGTAATTTATTGGCTAATTAAACAAAATTTGAAGGTTAGATGTGGGGTTTGCATAAGAAAACTGCATAGGAGACCCTTCTTCCTGCACCTTGCATATTTAATGAAATACGCCATTTACACCCTCCCCAAGATTAGCTTTCTCTAGGCTAAGGGTAAAGTCCCAGGCAGCTCCAAATTCTTAACAACCAGATACGAAAGAGAGATCTACCTTCTCTACTCTAGTTAGAAGAAAAAAAAAAAATTCAGGAAGGATTGGACTAGCCTGGAGCAAGTGTCCATGGATCATCTCTCCGTTCCTGATGGCCAGGAGATAGAGGACCATGTTTGACATCACACAAGCAGGGGAAGGTGCTGTTGTGATTGGCATCTTCATACAGTACCTCCTTCTCTAAATGGGAAGAGGGACGTTTCCCAAATAGAAGATTCAATAGTTTGGCAATTGTCATTCTCCCCTCTGAAGTTTGCACAGTTGATTTTGTGTGACTTAGTCAACTGGGACACTCAGGGGAATCTCTACCAGCTCACACAGAGCCAAGGTCAAGCTTTTATCTTTAGTCCCAAGTCTTCTTCTACTTCACCCACTTCTGATAAAGGCTTGAATATCTTTGTGGCTTTTGTTCCCAGGGCGCAAAGGAGAAAGAGGTCCCGATGGGCCCCCAGGATTTCCCGGGCAGCAGGGACAAGATGGTTGGGATGGACATGATGGAGCAAAAGGGGATCCAGGACCTCCAGTATGTATAATTATTCTGCTATCGATTTTCATTTTCTTACATGGGCACGATAAATCTGTTTTCCTCTTCTCAATTTAAAAAGCTATACCTCAGTAAAATGTTAATATGCTGGAAATCAGAGACGCCTTTGATTCATTTCCACAAAAAGATGATTGTTCCAAAAGGTATGGCATCATGGCAAATGGTCTAGAATCTTGTGTAACATTTCAGTCATAACAAGACTTTTTGTCTCTAGTCTTTGTGTCATTATTATGGTAGTTTTCCCCCTTGTATCTTCAAAGCCCCTACTGATTTGAGACTTGTTCAGCTGTCTTTATCAGGTGAAGGATAAAGCACAGGTCTTGAAAATTATCTTGAGTTCTGTCCCCTGGTGAAGTAGCAAGCATAAAAGGATAAACTAGTGCAAATCTACTGACTAGTTTATTGGCTGATGGAAAATCCATCGATAAATGATATTTCTGCATTTTCCAGTCATGTTTTAGGTGGAAGCCATGTATAGGTAATGAAGTTCATAAGAAAAGGCTGTAAGATATTTTTCAATGCTTTGGAATTTAAAATATCTTGGGCATATGAGGTATTTTTAATGCTTACAGTGTCACAGAAAGTGTGCTAGATTTTTACTCATCACAGTAGTCTTCTGAAGAGCAATTATCTCTCTAGTTTTAAATATGTAAGTTTTTCTTACAGTTTTACAGTAAGGAAATGGAGGTTTAGAGTATGTTACTAAGGACATCTATCTATCAAGTAGGCTAAATAAGAATGAAAAGTCTAGTTGCTTTATTCTAAAACATGTGATACTCCCACCAGTCTGTGTTGTAATAGAGAAAATCCATGTTCTGATTTTATAGGAGCTCATTCAGAGAGACCAGACTATTTGAAAGGATTGAAGACAGGACCATCAACTTGCCAGTAGGACAGGGTCAGGCATTTCTTGTGAGTGAGAATCCTTGCAGCCGGGCATTCTGTTGGGTTGAAGGAGATGAGAGCCACATGTGGCATATGTATGAGCAGCCCTGACTTGAAGGCTTTGTTCTCCATGAGGGCTGTTATCTCCACAGCACAGCTTGCAGGGACCCCCACAAGGAACTTGGCAGTTACAGGAGCCACCACTCAGGATCTTTCCAATTCTTCCAGACCAGATGCAAATGTTGCAATCTGAGTTTGATTTTACCATAATTAAGGTTGCCTAGTAATGTAGCTGACATGCAATTTTTATGTAGTTTCCAGAGAAACAGAACTAGACAGTTAACCGAAGGTCAAATTCTTTTTTTTTTTTTTTTAATATATTTTATTGATTTTTTACAGAGAGGAAGGGAGAGAGATAAAGAGCTAGAAACGTCGATGAGAGAGAAACATCGACCAGCTGCCTCCTGCACACTTCCCACCGGGGATGTGCCCGCAACCAACGTACATGCCCTTGACCGGAATCGAACCCGGGACCTTTCAGTCCGCAGACCGACGCTCTACCACTGAGCCAAACCGGTTTCGGCCGAAGGTCAAATTCTTATGCAGGAGGGGAAAGGATTTGTCAGCCTTTTATCCACAGACCTGGAGGGTGATGGAAACTATCACTAAACTGTCTTCTCATAAGAGTGCAGGAGAACTATTTCAAATATATAAGAACTTATACAATTCCCAAGCCTACTACTTCCATTAATTTACTTATTTCTATATTTCATTATACTTAAAATAAAGAGAGGTTCTATATAAAATTTCTTATTCTGATTTCAAGATGTCACAACCACATAACTCTTCGTGTTTGAGGCATAAGACACCCCCCCACCCCAATCACGTGTATATGTATATAAACTATTAAGAAGAATCTAAGTTGATCAATTTAAATTCCATTTGCTGTTGAGTCCCTTTCTCCTGGAATTGTGAGCTTCCTGCGTATGTTTCATCAGCCTATGACAATGACTACTCTGAGTTCTTGGCTTGGTAACTGATTTGTGATGCGAACATTCCCAGGGGGATCATGAAGACGCAGGCCGAGGTGATGAAGGAGCTCCTGGACTGCCAGGCCCCCCTGGCAGAGAAGGACCTAGGGGGCCTCCAGGACTGGGATTTCCTGGTCCACCGGGACAAAGGGGGCAACCAGGAGACCCAGGCTGCCCAGGCGAGAGGGGCCCTGATGGTGTGAAGGGTCCGAAAGGTAATTTTGAACACTTTGTGTGACAGTGTCAAGTGAAATCCCAGGAGCGAAAGTGGGCCTCTCTTCCAGGCAAAGTTATTATAGCTATGGCAGAACTGCTGAGTAAAATGCCATCAAGCTACTGTTCAGATCTTGAATAGTGTCAAGCAAATAAAAGCATTACAGCACAATCAGTACTTAAATCCTTAAAATGCTAAGATGTCTTTGTTCTTTTGTTTGGCATATGAAAGTTGCCTTTCATTTCTCAGTCTGACCATATTCAAAATATCTATTTTTATAATATTTTGAGATAAGGCAGAGTTTCATTAAAAACAAAACAAAACACACACACACACACACACACACACACACACACACATTGTCCCTGAAAACCCATTTGTAAGCATTCCAGGAAGAAAAAAGAAAGGATTTTAAATATATCTGACTGTTTTGTAAATTCCAAACAATAAAATGATCTGCAGTATTATAGCTGGAAACTTTTTAAAAGGTTGGAAAATATTTAAGATTTTTTTCTTTGTAATATGTACATATACATTGGGCTACATTGTTAAATGGGAATTTCAGAAGAAACTGATATCTTTGGTCCTTGATTTGACAACATAGAAAGGCAAATACCTTGGAATTCAATAAGATTTAAAATCATGGTCTGGGGCTCATCAAAATAGAACATTATCTTTATTCATCTCATATGTTTTTGAGTTGAGAGCATGTGAAATAACATATTATGAGATATTGTTTCTATGATAAAAGAGCAGCATCCCAATTTAAAAAAGGGATGTCACAGATGCTCAAGCTTGGAGTCTTATCTTCCTCACTGATTAAAATGGGGGATGACAATAACCACATTGCAAGGCCATTAGAAAAACAAGAGACTGCCTATTTGAAGCACCTGACCCACAGCAGCCCTCATGACATGATAGCTGTTATTAATATCCTGCCCAGTCGCTTTATTTGCACAATCCCCGCCACACTCAAACTAGGAGCCAAGTCTTCTGAACTTAGCATGGGTGGTGCTGGTTGTGATTTCATGATTCACAAAGCTTCTGATTTCATGGTATTCGACATCAATGGACCTATAAATCCAATATTTATTCTATGTTATTAAAACGGGTCCTTCTTGGAATCAATATTTTCTTAGTTCCCCTATTTTTATTAACTGTTCAGATTTGAAGGCAGGTTTGCTAGAAATTTGAAATAACTATGATCTTTTTGTGGCTTTTCCTTTGAATTCTACATACACTCTATGAGAAATATATTGACCAAACTCATTGAGATTTACCATGTCTTGAACTACCAATGATGTGAATACTACCGTTTTTCCCCAGGTGATACAATTGCTTGTAACGTCAGCTACCCTGGGAGACCAGGCCCTCCGGGTTTTGATGGACCTCCAGGTATGATCAATGAGATGTTATTATTTTACACCTTCTCCAGAATAAAGTCCTGGCAAGGTAGACAAACCAAAAGAAAATCCAAAGGCAAATTTCTAAAATTATTGCAAGGATTTGAGGGTCTATGGGAAAACAGCATTTATAGTCATTCACATTGGGTCTCTATTCTGCTGGTTTGGGCAGATGGCAGGTGCGTATTCATATCTGAGCAACAAAATTTACCTTGATTCAATCACACACCAATTACTAGTAAAATGCTTGCCCTTTGAGAGAATTAAAACGTTGTCTTCTTCCTTATCCCATGTCCCAAGAGTCAAAAATGATCATTCACTTACTGATTACAAGTGTTATTCTATTCTGCTTTATAAGAAACCCCAATTTGACCAGAAGCAGCATGAATAATGCACATACCTACATCCGTGATTGCACTTTTATGAAATCCTTCATTTGAATCAATCACTGCTTTATAGCTAAATTAGACCCCAAGTCTATATAAATGTATAATTCTCTTATATTTACTCAGAATTCACTTAAATTGATTCATTGAGCATTAGCACAGCTACTTGTCCTACATAACAAAAGATATTTAAAGGTGAAATGATGAATGACTCTTTATTGCTCTCTATAGCCAATAGCTTTTGTCAGAATAGTGTTTTATAACAACTTCAAAATCTAGTGGGCTACAACAACAGATATTTATTTTCTCTGTTATGAGTGTGCAGGTGGATGGGGCCCAGCTGATCTGTGATTGTGTCTATTGGCTTGGTCCCTGGCTCTAGTCCAGGTTCAGGTCTGTGACATCAGGTCACTGTGGGGCCAGCATGTGCTCGTCTCTGTGGTTGCAGAAATGCAAGAGGGCAGCCCAGCTTTATAGGCAGAATTCACTCCTCTCATTGCTTCATGGTTGTTAATATCCTATTGGCCAAAGCCAAGTCATAGGACCAAGGCACAGATCAAAGAGGGTAAATGACACTCCACCCAGCACAAGTCAAGGGCCAGGGTGGGGAAGAATAACTCTGCATCAGTGGAGAGAAGCATTGCTGGTTGACTGATTGAGCATTCATTTTCACATTTACTGATGCCTTGTCATAGATGGATTAAAAAAAAGTTAATGATTACTTTCAGCAGCTTTCATCTCAAGGGAAGTGAACACAAACTTGTTCATGGTTTGTAAGTTATTTTAGCTGAGATATCTCCTAGTAGGAAATCACAAGAGGTTAAAAAAACACACACACAAAAAAAACCCTCAGTTCCTTTTGCAGGTGCTTTTGGATTATACTTCACTCAAGGGCAAAAGCAGTAAGATGCAGGGAATAGATTTGGCCTTTACTCTGGGGTCTTCTTATCAGGACACACGGGCCATTGCCTGTCCCCCCACAAGGACAGATGTGCGTGCATATTTGTACTTGAGACCCAGCAGGGGAAGGTACCAAAAGGTTCATCTGAAGGGTGGTGCTTGCCCCAAAGGCTTTCAGAAGAATCCTCCACGGTTCGGCCTCTGAGAACGTATCTTAGCACAATCACTGCCTACAAAATACTTGTTCAGAGCAGGTGATTTGTAAAATAGTTCTGTCACCCAGGCTAGTCCACATCTCCACTGCCATCAAGTAGAAATCACCTTATTTGGTTCTCACTTGATGTGTGTCTTATGGAGTCCATGTTTCTTTGTTATCATTTAGGTCCAAAAGGATTTCCAGGTCCTCGGGGTGCTCCTGGGCCTAGGTGTTTTGTTGGGCAAAAAGGTCGGCCTGGCAGACCCGGAATATCGAAAATACCTGGTCCACCTGGTAAGGGAAGTGCTTTTCCTTAGAAATGTCATATACTTCTAAAACTGGACGATCTTAGTAAGGAAATGGCCCCGAGATCCCTGGAGGAGGGGGGAATGGTTTTTGTTGATACACTGAGCCCTTAGCTGTGTTTCATGATACTTTTGTGGGTTCTCAGGGCTTCTTTCACTTGAAGCAGGAGTGATAGGCCATTACTGGTCTATGACAGTGTGAAAACTGCTCAGTCCAGAAAGACAATTTGCTAGAGACTGCAAGCAATTGGGGAGACATCATTGACTTTTAGGAATTACAAAATTACAATAAATGTCCCTGGAAAAGATTGTAAAAACAATATCTATTAAATAAGTACCTTTGTATGTTTTAGAAATATGTTTTCATCAAAGCAGTAGATGATACAGCATAGGTTCTACGTTTTTGCATTTAACAGTTGAAACCATTTTTGTTCCATAGGTCTCCGTGGTGACCCAGGTGATCCAGGTATTGAGGGTGAGAGGGGTGTCTCTCCCGTCGGGCCCCCAGGCTCTCCTGGTCCACCTGGAGCAAGTGGTCAGAAAGGAGTCCCCGGAGACCCTGCGTATGGCCCCCCAGGGCCCCCAGGAAAGAGGGGGCTCACGGGAATGCCAGGGTTAAAAGGCCTCCGGGGCGACCCAGGACATCCGGGGCCTGCAGGTATGAGGCTGCTTCGTCCCTGTGTCTACACCTCCAGCTCAGCTCTGGAACCAATCACGGAAAAGCAGTTAGATGATCTTGCCTTAGAAATCGGGAATATGAAAATGTCACCCAAGCATCTTCCCTCCTATTGGGAGATGGTTACATTTCATTTGTTGCCTTTACATTATCAGGGTTTTTTTTGTGTTTTTTTTTTTTAATTGATTTTTTACAGAGAGGAAGAGAGAGGGATAGAGAGCTAGAAACATCGATGAGAGAGAATCATCGATCAGCTGCCTCTTGCACACCCCTACTGGGGATGTGCCCGCAACCAAGGTTCATGCCCTTGACTGGAATGGAACCTGGGACCTTTCAGTCCACAGGCCGACACTTTATCCAACGAGTCAAACCCGTTTCAGCTATCAGTTGTTTTTAAGTCCAGCGAAGCTCACTGTGGCTCAGTCAACCTAGTTAGATTTAGCAGCTACTGGACTCTCTGTCTGCTCTGGGCTCTGGACAGTGCCAAGGAATAGGGGCTGTGTGGTCTGCCTGCTGCCAGTGCCCGGTTGAAAGAGAGCAGGACAAACTGGATGAGGGAAGAGGGAGAGCAGCTTAGGGGAGGAGCAGTGTGGGCAGGAGTCTGGGAAGGCTCCTGGGAGAGCGGTGGCCCAGTGGGGCCCTGGCAGACCAAACTAACAAACATTGCTCTGGTCGAGCTAGCATTTGTTAGGTACCCAAGATAGGGCATGTGGGAAGACAGGGGAGTAAGCTACATTCTGTGTTATTAGGGAGCTCACTACTTGGTAGTTTGTAAGGCAAAATACTCATATACAAAAATCCGATCAATTGAAAAGTAACAACACATTATGTGAGTCAATGAAAATAATTTTACCCTGATAATCCCACTATCTCACTTTCGAAAATGTATCTCAGACAGTGTTCAACAGAATATGAAGGTTAATATAAAAATATTCTTGTATGGTTGATCCTTGAACAATGCTGGAGTTAGGGATACTGCCTCCCACGACACACACACACACACATATACACATATTTGTACAGTAAAAAATCAATACATAACCTTTGACTCTCCCAAACTTCACACACACACACACACACACACACACACACACATATTTGTACAGTAAAAAATCAATACATAACCTTTGACTCTCCCAAACTTCACTACTAATAACCTACTCTTGACTGGAAGCCTTATTGATAACATAAAGAATCAATTAACACAGATTTTATATCTTATATATATTTATGCATTATATACTATATTCATACAATAAAGTAAACTGGAGAAAAGAAAATGCTACTATAAAAATCATAAGAAAGAGAAAATACACTTATAGTACTTATTGAGATAAAATATGTTTGTAAACTGACCTTATAATTCAAATCTGAGTTGTTCAAGGGTCATCTGTAGTAGTATTCACAAGAGAGTTAAGTAGCATAGACACACACACACACACACTCAAAAAAAGAAATATTATTACCTATTAGCATTAATAATTAAAATTATATTTGTAAAGATTACAACAAAATGGAAAACATTTGCAGATTGATATGCAATGTAAAATAATCTAACAATTGATTGTGCATTGTGACTACTACTTTAAAAATGTAAACATCTGAACAAAATGTAAAGAAAACATGGAAAAATAAATTAAGTTTTTTTGGTTGGGCTGTGGAATTATAGGGGGTTTGTTTTTCTCTCTGAAGATTATGGCACTGCCTTTTCAATAAATTGAAATTTGAGAGCTCAAGTGATGAAATATATTACGAAATGCAAATTGTTACAGTGCAAATTGGGTTTGTAAGCATTGTGGAGTTTTGGTGTGAAGCCTGCTGCAATGTTAGAGGTTAATTAAAATCAGGAAGAATCCTGTGGTTTTTCAATTTGCATAAACAACTTCTTTGCCATCCATATAACCTTATCAAGTAACTCTTTTAGCCATGCACAGTTTTCCATTTCTTTGGAGCTCATGTTCTATGAAAAGAAAATTTATTCAGAGATTTAACTCATTTGAGCACAGAGCCAGGATCAAAATGCTGGCTTCTGGTACTGATGGGTACAGATGAACTCTGCTAGGCCATCTATGTCATTTTATGCCATGAGTGTCACAGATGGATTGTACCATTCATTGCAGGGTCAGCTGGCATGCCCGGATTCCCGGGTCTCAAAGGCCCAAAAGGCAGAGAGGGAAGTCCTGGGTTTCCAGGTGTCCCTGGTCCACCTGGCCATTCCTGTGAAAGAGGCGCCCCCGGATCACCAGGGCAACCAGGACTCCCCGGGGCTCCTGGCAGTCCAGGTAAGTGTCAGCAAGTGTCAAGGACTGTGAAAGGCCTGGGCCTTTAGCTGGCTTGCTGTTGCTCTTTCACAGAAGCTGGAAGAAGCAAGCCCTCTGGGTAAGAGAGAAAGAGCTTCATTATTCACAGCATAGAACGTAGCATGAGCTTCCTGTTGGCTTGTGTCATTTCCCACCTCACCCAAGTCTCTCGGCAGCGACATAAGAGGCGCTAGATAGATGCCACGCACAGAGCTGATTGCAGTACCTGAGAGAAGCTCTGAGCCTGGGGAACCACTGCTTTACATGCCTGAGCAACCCGTTTTCTGCACTGGGAGAGGTGCTATCTTGTGCATCAGGGTTGTTCACTGCAAACATAACCTCGAGAAGTAGCCCAGGTCAAGAGCAGTCAGGTCCTTGTGTCCTTGGCATACCCACCCAACAAGACCTGTAGGAACTGGAAGAGACTGGAGAAAGAGTGTCTCTCAACAAGGTTCTAGGGGCTATCTCCAATATGATCTTCATTTCATGATTCAGACTGCCACCTGTTATGTAAATCCTATTGCGTTTACCCGAATGCAGGAAGGTGCCCTCTCTTAGGATCCACAGGAGACTGAGGCACAACCTGCCGCCTTAGCTTTATTTCTAGCACCAGTAATATCAGGTAATGTTGCTCTGATTTCTACAATTCTCAGTTAACATCCTGATCAAAACTTGTTGGGTCATAGCTTCTGGAAGGACCTGGCAAGTTATCTACCCCCAAGACTACATACAGATTACATTTTGGTTTTCAACCCCTATCCATTTCCCATACAAAACTTTTTATAATATTCACTCATGCTCCTTATTGGGAACTATTTCTTTAATAAATATTTGAAATATTCCTGTCCTTCCTTTTAGAACAGCCAGATAAAAAAAAACCATAATTGTAGAATGATGGAGAGTTGCTAGTTTTATTTTAGCTGATAAAAACGGTTTCACTTTCGTTTCCTTGGCCATAGATATGCAATTTAAGCTACCATGACTGCCCTGCCTATGTGTGAAGCCACTTTACAGTTGTCCTACATTGTGGTTTCTGTGCTTTGTCTCAGGTGCCCCAGGTTGGAAAGGACAGCGAGGAGATATGGGACCTCCTGGACCAGCTGGGATGAAGGGCCTCCCAGGAGACCCCGGAAGGCCAGGGAAAGATGGACCGCTAGGACCGCCAGGAATTCCAGGCCCCTTTGGGGATGATGGGCTACCTGGTCTTCCAGGCCCCAAGGGTGGGTAGCACTTTTTAATTATTTCCTCATTTTATAAACCTGAAACCCACTGCCAAGTGAAGCCTGTTAGGTGTGACCACGCTATAGAATGTTCTGTTAAATGAGCCCCACTTTGCCCTGCCCTTGGGGATATCTCCCTTCTTCTTATCCTCTGTATTGATATTTCCAGTAGTAGGATGTTTGGATAGATAGGGGTCACAGAACCCATTAACCCTTCTGCCCAATGAACTGGGTAGAACCAGTAAATTGTAGGGTCAAGGCTTATATGCTTCTATGTTGGATGGATCCCCCCCTCTCTCCAGCCCCATCCCTCACACAGTTCTCTGAACCTATTCTGGGATCATACATCAAGGTTGTTCACTGCAAACATCACCTTGAGAAGTAGCCCAGGTAAAGAGCAGTCAGGACCTTGTGGCATACCCACCCAGCAGACCTGTAGGAAGGCCTAGACTTGAGATCTGTGGTGTGGGAGAGTCCAGTTATTACACAGAGTGAGGCTAATCATGGCTGCTCACCTTCAATGCAAACTCAGAGTCAGGTGGGAGTGTGCATCGGGTGGACATTGGGAATGCAGATCTAGGAACCACACTAGCCTTTGAAACGTTTTCTTAAACATTCATGCTTTTATTTCATCAGGACCTCAGGGGCTGCCTGGCAAGCCTGGTTTTCCAGGAGAGAGAGGGAAGCCTGGCCCCAAGGGACACCCTGGCAGAAAGGGAGAAGTCGGAGAGAAGGGCTGGCCTGGCGCCCTGGGAGACCAGGGAGCGAGTGGTGCCAAAGGTAAAGGCAGTGAACAGCACGGGCAGGCAGCACAGGTTTGCTTCTGATGTCTGATCACCGTCCATGAATATAACCTCTGAAAACCAAAATGTGACTCTCCTGCAGTGGATTCCCCCTCTTCCTCTTGATTCTGTGGTGCTGGTTTTAAAATTTCAAACAAAATTCATTTTCCTTCCCTCTCAATCTTATTACATTAAACTCGGCAAATTAATTGCTTTACTAATAGAAGAAAAATGAACAAGTGCTTTGAATTATAGCTATTGTTTTTCAAAGAACTGTCTCATGTTTTTAATTTTTTTTTATTGTTTAAAGTGTTACATAATCTCCTCCCCCACCTCCCCAATTGACCTCTCCCCAGCAACCTCCCCCCACCCCGGATATGCCCTCACAGCCCCCCACCCCCAGTCTGTTTCCTTTGGTTATATTTATATGCACGTATACAAATCCTTTGGTTGATATCTTACCCCTTAACCCCCCACCTTCCCTCATAGCTCGGACAGTCTGTTCGATGCTTCTATGACTGGTTCTATTTTTGATAATCAGTTTACGTTGTTCATTATATTCCTCAAATGAGTGAGATCATGTGATATTTATCTCTGACTGGCTTATTTTGCTTAGCATAATACTCTCCAGTTCCATCCATGCTGTCACAAATGGTAAGAATTCCTTCTTTTTTACAGCAGCATAGTATTCATTGTGTAGACAGATGAACCAGTTTTCTAATCCACTCATCTGTTGATGGGCATTTAGGCTGTTTCCAAATCTTAGCTATGGTGAATTGTGCTGCTATGAACATAGGGGTGCATATATCCTTTCTGATTGGTATTTCTGTTTTCTTGGGATATATTCCTAGAAGTGGGATTACTGGGTCTAATGGAAGTTCCATTGTTAATTTTTTGAGGAAACTCCATACTATTCTCCACAGTGGCTGCATCCCCACCAGCAGTTCCTTTTTCTCCGCATCCTCTCCAGCACTTGTTGTTTGTTGATTTGTTGATGATAGCCATTCTGACAGGTGTGAGATGGTACCGCATTGTCATTTTGATTTGCATCTCTCAGATGATTAGTGACTTTGAGCATGTTTTCATATGTCTCTTGGCCTTCTGTCTGTCCTCTTTCAAAAAGTGTCTATTTAGGTCCTTTACCCATTTTTTTTTTATTGGATTGTTTATCTTCCTTTTGTTTAGTTTTCTGAGTTCCCTAAAAATTCTGAAGATTAAACCTTATTGGAGCCTTCTCACCTTGGCAGGCTCTTGGCGCCCAGATTCTGTTTCAATTCTTTCACAAATAAAATAACCTTTTTTTGTAAAGAAGCAGATATAAATATTTTAGGTTTTATAGGTAGTATGTTCTCTGTTGTAACTCTTCAACTGAACTTTGGAGACATGAAAAAGTCAGAGACAACATCTAAAAAAAATCAACAATCTGTGTTCTAATAAAACTTTATTTATAGAAACAGAAAGTTGAACTTCACTTAATTTTCACATGGCAGAAACTGTTATTCTTGTTTTGGAGTTTTTCTTCCAATTATTTAAAAGTGTAAACACTGATCATAGCTCATGAATTGTATAAAAACTGGCAGCAGGCAGGATCTGGCCCTGGGGCTGGAGTTTGCAGCCTTGAAATGGAAGTTCACTTTTGTCCAGTTCTGAGTTAGTCTTCCCTGGGTTTCATTTAAAGTAAGAGTTTTCAATACAAAAATATTGAATGTCAACTGTAATTGAAAAATAAAAAAGTTTTTATTGGTATAAAAATAAAAAACTTTGAGATCACTGGTTTAAATGCTTCCTTCCATGTTGAATATTTACTTTCATCTCTAGCCTTGACTCTGCAATGAGGGAAGGTACCATTTCATTCCCAGTGTTGAGAATGAATACTTGTCAATTTTCAGCAATGAGGTAAACATCTTAAAGCCTCATAGTGCATTCAAAACTTATTTTTATTTCTCAGTTGATTGAATCTGCTATTATTTTTGTTTTATTAGCCTATAAATTATTTATGCAGAATCAGGGAATCAGAATCAGTCTTTGCTAGCTGAGATTGAGTGGTGTTTGCTATGCTGTCATGCTACACAATTATCCCACTAAAAAAGTGAACAATTATGTGAATGCTAGTGATGTGCTGATAAACTGGCTCTCCAGACTAAAATTGAAAACAAATGCCATGACTTGCAGTGATTGCTGATCTCATGGCATAAGTACTCCCGCTGTGGCATAAATAGTCCCAGCATGGCTGATTTAAAGCTTCCAAAATTCTTGAATTGTTAATAATTGGTCCTCACCAAGCTGGTAGGAGCCCACTCTGATGCACTTTACAATGGACAGTGTTTATTAACATCAGGCAGATCTATCATTTGCCTTTCTTACTTTTTGGAATTCTCTATGTGGAGAACCACATTAAGGTAAGAGTCTGTTCTCTTAATGTGAAGAAAATAATAGAGGGTGGCTAGGAAGGGGAAGATAGGGAACTGGAAAATATGAGATGGGCAATTCACATTTTACAGGATAAAGAGCCATATTTTAGACCTGGAATTTTGCAAGCCTGTCTTTTTTCACCGAAAACAGACCAGCCTGGTTGAATTCGGCAAACCCTCACTGAGCACTCATTGCCCACCAGACCCTGGTACTGGACCAGTTGGGAGACAAATGTAAAAGGCATGGCCAGTCCTTCAGGAAATCAACCAGTAGCGGTGCTCCTGTGCAGTCTGTAAACATGAATGCAGTTTAGTAGATTAAGTGGGGATTTGCAAACGGGATGTGAAGTGACAAAGGAGGTCTCACACGTGTGGTGCTTGTTTGTTTTGCTTTTGCATAATGAATATCCAAAGGAGAGAGAGGACCCCCAGGAGATGAAGGAGAAATGGCTATAATTACCAAGAAAGGGAAACCCGGGGATCCTGGACCTCCTGGAGATGATGGAGCCCCAGGAGAAGAAGGTAAACATTCATTTTTTTGAACCCTATCAAATAAGTTAACTTCACAGATTGTTCAAGCAAGCATATCTATTAGGCAACTTTCCCAGTAACACTGAGACTAGGAAAGGTTGTTTTGTAGACATTCATGTGCACTAGTGAATTTAATGCTAGAACTTAGCTGAAGTTCATATGTATTTATAGATTTGGATATTCCAAAGTAGTATCAATCCTGAGATACATATAACATATTGTTCCAGGGTTAGAGTACCACTGTTTTTGGTATTAAAATGAAGAGCACAGAGATTGTCCCAGTCATTTTTATCAGCGCTTCTTATATTTTAATGTTCATATGAATCATCTGGGATGCTTTTGTAAAAGGCACATTTTGAATCAGCAAGGCTGGGCCAAATCCACCTTTCTAACCAGCACTGCCTGCCCCGTGCTGCTGGCCTCAGAACCAGCACGCAGCAAGGACTTTGACCTCCATATTTGGGTTCTCTTTCCTAAATTCAGATTTAATATGCATGCGACCCGCGTTCTTGCCTTGGCTCTCACCTTACCTAGTTGTTAGGGACAAATGCTTTAACTTCTCAGAGTAAATTCTTCGTTTGTAAAATGAGTTTATTGGCGCAAATGATCGTGCGTGCTGGTACCTGGGACATCGTGGGGCTGTTCCTGGGCAGCTTTTTTCACAGGCAGGTTGCTGAAACCAGAAGCCATCACGCTGTGATTTAGGGCAGGAATTGGGATTCTCAAACCCTTTGGCTTCATCTCCTAAAAGTAGGACCAAGACCCCCATCCTAGTCCAAGAATTCCTCTGAATTGGGCCTAACACTTCTAACTCCACCAGGTGATCAAGGCCATCCTGGGATGCCGGGGAGAAGAGGGGAGCCAGGAAGACCCGGGCCACCGGGGCTTCACAGAGGAGAGCCTGGTAGAGATGGGCAGCCAGGGCCTCCTGGAGCCCCAGGCCCTCCGGGCTCCCCTGGGCTCAGAGGGATCATTGGTTTTCCGGGATTTCCAGGTGATCAGGTAAGCGGCTGCTGTTTTGGGAGGAAAGCAATAATAAAACCTTCTACTCTCAGGATGCCGATGAGTCACAATTTGCTAGTGGACAAAATAGCCCTTTCACTGGTTTTCACAATTAATGGTTTGGTCAAGGGAAGAATGGAGACTTCCTGAAGGCCACGATGTAACTATGGTTTCTGACCAATGCCTGGTTCCCACGACATAGGTGACCAAGTCACTTACCCCACCTACTAACGCTGGCATAGTTATAACAGGCCATAGAGAGTCACCTCATGACTACTTGTGTACTAAAGAGTCATCTGAGAAATTATTTCATATACAATTGCAGATATTAGAGATTTTGCTGTGGCTTGGCCCTTATAATTATGAATAAAATACCCCCTGAGAAACCAGGAGGTACAATACGTATAATAGCCTACATCACAACTCTAAAATGTATAATTTGTTACCCATCTCTGGGAATAAATTAGGCTTTAAAGTTTTGGGTATGAGATGATTTCTAATTATATTTTATTTAGTGTCAACTTGTTCATTTAAAACTTAAAACTCAAGTTATGTGAGTCAGTTACTGTTTTGCAATCAAGTATAGAGAATTACTACTACCTGTTGGTACTGATACCTCCAATTCTGGATGAGTTTTATCAACTTTTGAAAACTAGATATATGTAGTAGTATGCCTATAATGCATTTCCAAATTTCTTTGCCACTGCAAATTATAAGCACCAAATCGGTTATGGATAATTATAGCTGGATCATATCATGCCTGCATCATTTGTGTGTGAAGCCAAATTAAGGTTTTAGTTCTGTTTCATTAATTTATCAGGGTGATCCGGGTTATCCAGGGACCCCTGGACTTCCAGGAATTGATGGAACGAGAGGACCTAAAGGTATGGTTTGGAAATACAGCATCTAGCCATTAATCTCATAGTCCATAGTAACATTGGGAGCCATCACCTTTTGCATAAAAGCAACACATAGTCAAACAAACTGCAATACTCAGGGGTTCTTTTCAAACTCTTCTTATAATAGTAGTCAAACACTCAAACCCAAGCTGTCCACAGTTGTTATCCAGATCTGAGAGTATCAGATAGAAAGCAAGCCTGCAGGGCACACCAGGCTTTCCCCTCAGGGGAGTCCTTGCAGCTGTCCTTGCGAAAACTGCAGTTCTATGAGTGACAGCTCAAGTTCAAGGAGACTGAATCCACATGGGTGCACACTGTACCCTTGGCTGCGAAGCCCAGGACCCCTCGAAGGCCTCCACAGGTATAGCTTTTAGAGTCTCATTACAAGAGCCACAGCACACAAAGGCCAAAGCCATGACTTCCCACCAGGTGTTAATAGTTCACTTAAGAATTTCTGAGCCACAGGTAATGTACAACTGGGTGATGTTCTACCATAAGTCAAGGGTCAGCAAATACATATTTTTCAAAGGGCCAGATAATACCTATTTTCAGTTTGTGGTCTCTGTCACACTGCTTGACTGTGAATAAAAGCAGCCAAAGACAATACACAGTGTCATGGCTAAATGCCAATAAAACTTTACTTACAATACAGGCTAAAGGCCTTAGTTCACCGTGTGCCTTGTAACCCAATATACATTCTACTTTTGTCATGTTTCCAGGAAACAGAAATAGAAAGTTGACCCAATCTCAAAAATGTCTTTAGAGAGAGAGTTAATTAACCCTTTCTCCATAGAAACAAGCAAATAAACAGAAATCAGGCTATCTTACATCGCAATCCTATATAATAAAGAGCTAATTCGCTAATTAGACCGAACAGCAAAACAACCATCCCGATGACCTTCTGGAAGAAGCCAGGGCTGTGAGTTCCGGCCAAGGCTACATCGGGCTGCGAAGGCCAAGCCCCTTGTATGAATTTCATGCATCGGGCCTCTAGTGTTTGTATAAAACCTTTAATATTTCTTACTGTTTTTCTACACTTAGTATTTTTTCTAAACCATTGGATTAATGTATTTTAAAATCTACTTTAAAATGATTCACTTTTTACACCCTACTCTCTATGAATTCAGAGGTTTTATATGCAGTTAGATTTTATTTTAATACAGTTAAAAACACACCTTTAAAATGTAAAATACTAATTATTAAACCACCTAAAATATTTTCCTTTATTCCAATGATACATGCTTTACCCTTTGACAGACACTACATAAAGAATGTGATCATAGTTGTGAAAACAGGCCGCGCACACATTTATTCAGAAAGAATAATATAGCTCTCTTCTTTGGAAATTGTTACGAAAAGGGAAATTTTCATATTTAACTTTTGACATTTTATAGCTTCAGGATTCAGAGCTCACTCCTCTTCTATTTCCCTGTCAATTTATTATATTATAGTCCCTTTATGTCTCTCAAAGTACAAGCCTGCTTCTTATTTCCTTCATGCTTGTATTATGTTATGAAATGCGCTCAGGTACCAGGAGCGAAAGGTGTCTCATGGAGCCCAGAGAGGAAACCAGAAGCTAACAGACCCGGGGCCTTAGCAAGTCATGGTTCTCTCTTGATACTTTCCTGTCATTCTTCATAGTCAGTTTTTCACTTACCTGCCTACCATCTGATTTTCATCACTCTCTATTTGGTATCTTTTCCGGAAATGTCTGATTGCCTTCCAACATGCTCTATCGATACATCAGGGTATTATGATAATCTACATTATGAACATCTTTTTGCTTTCTTCCTCAATAGTAACTACTTCAAATCCTCACTTTTTAATACAACTTCTCAAGGAAAGATTGGCAGACCAAGGAAGGGCCAGATACCTACTGTTCAAGTAATTAGCCACCATTATGAGTAGTGTCAGCTGGGAGAGCGCCTTTCTTAAATAGATGCCTACATTTGAAACTATCTTAGGGAATTTAAAAATTTAAACTTATTAAGATTTATAGTTTCCCATGATTGTTATCAATTATAAAATTGTGTGTGTATGTTTAAATACATCTTTCATCTATGTTTCCATTTATTCTTATGTAGAAAAAGAAATAACTTTTTTTCAAAAATCCTTCCATGCAACATTTGAAGATACACTATAAAGACAAATGTCATAGAAGTTATTAAGTTACTTGTATGAGACAAAATTAAATTCTCTCAAATAATGTTATGTGCGTTTGATTATAGGAAACAAAGGGGATCCTGCAAATCAGTTTGGCCCACCCGGTCCAAAGGGTGAGCCAGGCAGCCCTGGATGTCCAGGTATAGCTACATATTTTTCTTATTAAACCAGAAAGAATATATTTGGTTTGAAAGCTAGAATGATTACTTTATCCTCTGACTCAGCGATGATTATGTTAGTATTTTCTTCCTCCTTTGCCACTAAGACACATGTCAGAAGGATTATGTACAAACACAGCATCGTATCCCTGGCTGAGAAGGACATTAGGATTATACCCCAGGGACTCACAATCTTTTTTAACCGTGGTTCCCAGGACCAATGATATTGACATGACAATACAATCAGGCATGCCCAGATTTTGACAATGATTATTGAAAGCAATGAAAACTTGGACCAGTTTGCAGTTTCTCTAATTAAAATGATACATCAGCAATAACCACTCACACTGAGTACAGCTGCAGGTTCTCATTCAGCCCTTTCTTTCCTACTTAGAAAAGTGTATGTGAATGCCAGTGAGACCTGCCATTGCTAATATATCACCAAAATCACTTATTTAGGAAATACCTAATTTACTAAAAAACAAACCCAAAAAATCTAAAACCTCATCACCAGTGACAAATCTAAGTTCTTCAAAATAGTACCTGCTTTGTCAGTAACAACTGATGTACAATGCCTCTGAACTGACAGACTAGTGAGTTCTTGCCCTCCAGTCCAGGAGGCTGTGGTTGACTATAATACAATCGATGACCTGCAGCTGACAGAAGATGCATGCTCTTCGACTTAGTCATTCTTCCATAGGCATTTATCTTAAGTCATCCATCTGACAAGTGTACAAAGATGCACCCACAAGGATATCCATTGCATGGAAAGAACAAGGTCCATCATAGATGATTGATTACATAACCTGTCCACTGTCAGCATAATGACAGTGGACAGGTTGGAAGCCAGATTTGTATGTACATGGGTACCTTGTAAATAAAAGTATTTAATTTTAATTCTTCTATGCACTAGCTTGAAATTCTCTCTGGCAATAGCCATGCTTATTCCATAGAACATGGAATAGAAAGAACATCTGAACAGAAGTTTATGGGAAATTTTATTTCTTGGTTGTTATGTGCATGATTGCTCAAATGGAAGTCTAACAGAAAAACTAACAATTGCAATGGTTGCATCTCCCACTCTCTTTCATGTGGGTCTTTCACCTCTGACATGGTCAAATACATATTTTAACGGAAAGGTATAGCCTAAGGGTACATTTGGAGAAGAAAATAGTTTCAAGGTTGGCGCTATGAGGGTTCTTAACAAGTGCCAGAGTGAGAGGTCTCAGGAAGGAAAATTAGTGGTTCAAAGTCACCCTTATTATTACTGTGCATGGGGGTCTTGGCAAATTGCTTATCATCTCTGAGCTCAGTGTCCTCACCTGTAAATTGGCCCAATACTCAACTGTAGGATCACTCAGAGGATCAAATGAGATTTTTGGAGAACAATTTGTAAACTGAAAATTGCTACACAAATGTAAAATGTCATTGTCACTATCATCACCAGTCAGCAAAGCATTAAGAGATTTTTCTACACTTATTGGCATCTTTTTTTAATATATTTTATTGAATTTTTTTTTTTATAGAGAGGAAAGGAGAGGGATAGAGAGCTAGAAACATTGATGAGAGAGAAACATCGATCAAATGCCTCCTGCACACCTCCCACTGGGGATGTATCCGCAACCAATGTACGTGCCCTTGACCGGAATCGAACCAGTCTGCAGGCTGACATCTATCCACTGAGCCAAACAGGTTTTGGCATTTACTTGTACCTTTATGTGAACCCTGAAGATAGTAAAATTTTATAAACTGAAAGTAATAAAATTCAGAGCTCTTTTATATTACCTAATATTTTAATTTTAAAATCATAAACCTGAGTTCTTTTATACTTAGGCCTTTTCAACAAAATTTGCCTTGGCACAATGTCCCTGGTCTCCTGTGGTTAGCACCATTTAAATTGTTCCTTATCCTGTATACCATAGCTTTAGGTTAAACATTTTTAAATGACATCTTATGTTATTTACCAGCTCAGAGTTTGAAGTTCTCTTATGTTATTTATCACCTACATATGTGATTTCCATTGACTGGAAAGACTTGCATTGAATTTGAATGAGCCTAGCAAGATGCTATTGAGCTTCTGCTGTCTCAGGGATTATGTAGGATTGTACTCGGTCCAATTCCACCGCCCCTTCAATTCAGAGAGAAAACACAGTAGCAATAAACTCAAAAGTTTTGTTCATACTTCAGCTGTGATGGGGAGGCAAGCCTTTCACTACAGTTTTCTCATGTGGAGATGAGAATACTGCTGCCTTATCTTCACTCCAGGAATGTTTTCAGGGTAAATAAAACAGCAGAGAGAGGCTCAATGTCTTAAATTGGTCTGGGAACAGGTATCAACTAAGATAGTCTTGTTTCGTGTGAGTTATAACAAATAATGGCTATGCCCTTACCATGGGTTTGTCAGTACAGAGCCCTATATTTTATTTGTGGATACAACCAGTTATTGTTTTAGCACACACTGTTAGTTTATCCTATGAATATGGGTTGTATTAAAATCACACATTGGAAATAAACATACAGGGAAATGGTCATCTTCTCTAGTAATTGAAGAAGTGTAACTTAATGTAAGTCTGGAGTATTATTTCTTCCTTACTAAACTAACAAGAAAATAAACCAACAGCCTACAAAGGCCTTGGTGAGTGCCTGCCCAGCTCTTGGACATGCAAGGACGAGTGTGGGTGGGTCTGCAGGGTGAAGTGGGTTGGTGCAGCACTTGTCCAAACCATTTGGCAACTTCTATCAAGAACCAAATGCTGAATGGTCTGTGCTAGAAGCCTAGAGAACAACTGAACTGTTCTTTTCAAGTCACTGTCCTGAGAAAGGGACTGTAGTAGATTTTTTTTTTTAAATGTAAGAGATATATCCACCAGATGCCATGTGTGCTTCTGGAATGGAACCGGGTATGGACAAACCAGCTGTGAAGACATTAAGGGGACAGTTGGGGGAATTCAAGTATGGAATGAGTATTACATTATATTAAGGACTGCTATTAATTTCCTTGGCTGTGACAATGTTATTTTGCCCATGTAAGAAAATGTTATTTTTCAGACATACCTCCTGAAATATTTAGGGATGGAATTCCATGATGTCTGTGATTTACTTTAAAAGATCTCAGCATTTTAAAATGAGTAAAAAGACCCAAAATGTTATGTTACCTAGAAATTCTACTCCTAGGAACTTTTCTAAGGAAATAATGTAATAGTAGAAAAATGTATTAAAGATGTATAAAAATCATTATGCATGATAGCAAGGAGAAAAAACTTCAGTGGCCAAAAGTAGGAAACATTTGCATCAATTAATTAAATTTAGGTGAACTCAGTAAGCTATGAGCCAGTCACTTGAAAACAATAATTAGGAAAATGATGACAAACTTGGAAAATTGCTTAAGATTCAATGCCAATTAAAAAAAAAATCAGAATATAAAATTGTGGGTATTATTTGCACTTCGTATACATATAAAAATTGTTGAAGGTGGTGGGATTATAGTTGTTTTGTTTTAATTTTCTTTAATGTTACCTTCTCAGTAGAAAAACTGTTAATATAAAAGAAAGTAAGACTAGAAAAGAATAACAAAGGCTGAGTTGGAGGTTTTATAGATTCACCGTCTTGAAGAGCATCTACAACCTCTCAGGTTTTTTTTTTTTAATCTTTCTTTGTTTAGGGCCTTCGGGAGCTCCCGGAGAGAAAGGCTTGACTGGTGTTCAAGGGCCCAGAGGACCACCAGGAAGACCAGGACCGCCCGGCCTCCCCGGACCATCAGGGTGTCCAGGTACCTTGGGAAGAAGCCTGGAACCTTCCCAGACACGTTTCTATCTCGTGTTGCATCAGAAAGGACGAGCCTTCACTCAGACCTGGGTTGAGCTCTGGTTCTGCCACCTCCCAGACCTGTAACTTTGAACTAGTCACTCAAACTTTCCCATTCCTCCCTTCCTTCTCAGTTGGAGCTAGTCCTCACTCCCTGGGTGGTCTAGGAGTAAAATTAGTCAACACCTATAAAGGGCCTAACAGGGCGCCAGGCACAAAGGGATGACGCTCCTTTCTGCCCTTCCTAATTTACCTGCCATTGAAAATGCTGGCTTTTTTTTTTCCCTCCTTAAGACTTAAGGTAAATATCACACATACAGGACAGCATTGTAATGGCTCCTCTTCCTGACGATTCAGAATAAAGTGAGAGTAGAAATCATAATTGGCAACTTTAATTGCTCAAAATGGTATTTTTCCCCTTCTGAGCTTAAGTGTATTTTTTTCCCTAGCGTCAGGAGACCTAGGAAGAAAAAGTAATAAAACAGTGTTCCTGGTTCAAGTATCTCACATAATACGAACATAGATGACCTTCCCAGTGAATGTAACACATGTGCCATCTGGGTGTCTGCAAAACCTCCCTGTATTCCTCAGGTGATAAAGGGATGCCTGGGCCAGTGGGACATCCAGGAGAAACAGGGGATCCGGGACCAAGAGGCCTCATGGGGTATCCAGGGATACCAGGTCTTCCAGGAATAAAAGGTAAGTCAGAGAGGAATCCTGGCCTATCAGAAAAATCCAGGCCCATGAAGGCAAATGCACAGTGCCTTTCCAGCACTGAGTGACATTGCTCCTGGTCATAGCCCTTCCCCACCAATGTCATCAGCCCCTCCCTGTTCTTTCTCACTTGGCTCCAGGCAGTGCCCATCTAGCCTCCGGACCTGCCTCCTATCAACATGATGGTGATACCATCTAATTTTTCAAATTTCTCCCAATGTTTTCCATAATGTTCTGCCCCATTCATTTATTCTCTCCCCAGATAGTTAAGCTCATACTATGTCCTGGATTCCAGATACTCAGTACAGAGTTTTGAAGAAAATAGACATGAAGCTTCCTTTATGAAGCTCACAGTTTAGGAAGAGAGACACATATTAACTACGTATGTGTAAATAAATACGTATTTACCAGTTGTGATAAGTGAAAGGGAGAGGGAAAAAATAAGATGCTATGGTGGAACTAGAATTCATTACCTTTGTTGATGAAGAAACATTTGTTCCTGGTTGAATTTTTTGGTCTTTAAAGAGGGGTTATAATATAGGCCTGGCTAATATAAAATAATGTCATAGAATTATACAATTTATTTTTTAAAATATGTATTTTATTGATTTTTTTTATAGATAGGAAGAGAGAGAGTTAGAAACATTGATGAAAGAGAAACATCGATTAGCTGCCTCCTGCTCACCCCCCACTGGAGATGTGCCCGAAACCAAGGTACATGCCCTTGACCGGAATTGAACCTGGGACCCTTGAGTCTGCAGGCCGACGCTCTATCCACTGAGCCAAACCGGTTAGGGCTATACAATTGATTTTTAACAAATCTCCATGCCTTTTCCCATTCATATGTGGTACTTACTCCTCTTTAGTTCATTGCTTTCATTTTAGATAAAATATTTTTCTTGGTACTTTGTGTGTACCACTAGCCTAATAATACTTATATTGTATAACATTTCTTTAGAAGTTTTTCTCACCAAGTGATTTTTTAAAAAGCAAGGACTATTTTTATATGCTTGGCACTCAGTAGATACCCAATAAGCCTGTTGGTTGGTTAGTGTATTTTTAAATTTATGAATAAATTAATAAGTGAAGGAATGGATAATAGAAGAAGGAACATCTGAGCTAGTAGCTATGAAGATGAGGGTTTTCACCTTAATCAACAGATGTTCAAGCCTTACTTGATAGATTTCTATAACCCATCTTTCTCTGCCTCCTTCTTTTCCCTCCCACTTTTTCCATGATTAACCATTTGTACTGTATCTCCACTTCTTTCTATCCTCCCAGTTCAGTAAAATAGTAAGGATTTTCAAGTGTCTTGGTGCCATAACAATATCCACCCAGTCTGATTAAAATGACAAGGCTCAATCTACTATTATTGATTCTTCCTTCTCTTGAATTAGTTTACATTTATTACATAAGTTCAGTATATGTTATTTTAAAACCTAATAGCTAATGAATTTGATAGAATAAAAATTATTTGAAGGTAATTTCTAATCATGTCATAATTCTGTGCTTTGAAAAATGAGTTTGTTAAGAAGAGAAAGTGAGGAAATAAATATATCCACCCAAGTATTCAGTGTGCAAAAGGATACTGCAGTGTGCCTCCCGACCACGTGGTGGCACTGTTTCACTGTGAACTGCCCATTGCACAGCCAGTCTTTAAAAGAAACAAAACAGTGGAACAGATTCCTAAAAATTAGAAAAACGACCATCTAAATCCATTGTTGCTTTTTATCATGCTGGTATAAAAATGAACCACACTCCAGCAGAAACACTTTGAACTGAGAAACTAAATATTTGAAGTGTGCGGTAGATAAGTCAAGGGGCCCGATTTTCTTGTTTGAATAAACCAGCTGCTGAACTCGAAGTTGTTTGCTCTGCTAGAATGGGCCATATGGATTCTGAGTCCTGCTTGTGTTCAGTCAGATTTAAACTTTAACTTAAACATATGCTGAAAATGGCTTGGTTCCTAGACTTAAATTTCCAAGTGCACACATCCTCTACAAGGAAGACACTCTGTTTCCAGTTGGGCGTTGAAAGAGGATTGGCATAATGGGGACCGAAAGACAACTTCATTGCATGACAACGACTAATTTGGTTGGTGGCAAGTAAAATATTTCATAACAAATAAAATACCTTGGAGTGTCTTTTATCAGCCAAGTAACATTCTCTCTCCTTTTTTTTTTTTTTTTTTTTTTTTTTTTTTACAACTACAGTATTCTCCTCCTGCCCACCCCCTCCCTTCTCTCCCCCCAACACACACACACACACACACACACACACACACACACACACACACAGCACTTACAGTTCTAGGGGTGGATGCCTGTTCTGTCAAGTTAGGGATGTTTCTCTCTGACTCCTCATTGTCCCATCCAGCACTTGCCACTAAGCACATTTGGGGACTGATGCTCCATGGGTTAAGAGACCATGTCTTATGCCCTGTGCATTCCTTTAGTAGGAACTAATCTATTTTCTGAATTTTGGAAAAAAATGAAATCGTATTTCAGAATCTGTTTTGATAAGTTTTCAACTCTGCTCAACTGTTATTTATAGCTATGAAGGTCTCTTTTTCCCAACAGCTTTAACATTAGGGTGACCAGCTGCCCTTTTTTGCCTGGGATCAAGGTGGGGAGGGGCGGATGCGGGATGTCAGGCTATGGAACTTCCTGTGTTAGAACTAGGAAAGTCCCCAACAAATAGGTTCCCTATTAAAAGTATAAACCCGTGTAAAGGTTCTTGGAGATAGGATAGTGTTTTTGCCTCTAGGACAGAAGAAAGCCTAAGAGAGGAAATTCAGTGACAACGCTGGTTGACTTGGAGGCTGGGATGACGATTATGGTGGAGACTGGAGTCAAGGTTAGAGCCTTGGACTGGAGGGAGAGCCCAACCTGCAAGTGCAGGGAGATGCAGCCTTAAGTGATGGTGGTTAGCAAGACGCTGTCCACAGAGGTGAATAAAAGTCCTCATTACGCCGAAATCGGTTTGGCTCAGTGGATAGAGCGTCGGCCTGCGGACTGAAAGGTCCCGGGTTCGATTCCGGTCAAGGGCATGTACCTTGGTTGCGAGCATGTTTCTAACTCTCTATCCCTCTCTCTTCCTCTCTGTAAAATGCCAATAAAAATATATTTTAAAAAAAGTCCTCATTACCAAGGAAAGTGCTTTGTTAGCCTAATTGACTCTCATCTGTACTGTATATATCTTATGCATGAACAACTTTCTGATTTAGAGATGAGATTGATATAAAGCTTTTAATAAAAAGGAAAAATTGCCCTTAAAACCCTATCCACATGTAGCTGCATTCAATTTAGAAAGATAACATTGGGTCAGACAAGGGTCGGACAGTTCACCAATGGCAAGGGCCTGGTATTGTGACAGGCCAGGATCTGGATGTGTTGATGTGACAATGGAGAGTTGGCAGAAGCTGGGCATTCCACCCGCAGCCAGCTCTCCCCACCCATCAATCTTGGTGGCTTAATTGGGAGATCAAAACACATGGAAATAGCAAAGTAAATTTAAAATTTATTATCATTTCAGACAGATTGCAATAAATATCTAGATTTGGCAGATGAGGAAGGTCTGTGTGTTCTTTTGGTACAAACTTGGAACATTGGCTCATTAATAGGAAAGATGATTGGAAAATAAACTAAACCAGAACTGTTAAAAGTATAAGGAAATAAGATCTTTAAGGAAAGCAAGGGTGTATTCCCAAATTTTTTTTGGAGGGTGCAAGAGATTATAGCTTATTTGTACCAATCTAAAATTTATTTTATTATATTTATTGGGATAACATTGGTTAATAAAACTTATATAGGTTTCATGCATACAATTCTACAATACATCATCTGTATATTGTATTGTGTTTACCACCCCAAGTCAAGTCTCCTTTCTTCACCATTTATCTTTCCTTTACCTTCCCCCATCCTAAAGTTTAAACTTAAAAATAGAATAACTGTCTGTTTTAAGTGCTGACAATAAATAAAGTAACTTCTACCTTTTAATAACTCCACAGAGGACTTGCTTTTATGAATAGATAATAGTTAGCATTTGAATTATTTATATACAAATGGATACCTCTAACTTCCCCAAATCTTACTACAGATCTATCACAGAAAGATGAGACATGCAATAGAAATGGTAGTCCTTTTCTTTTTAAAGCTTTTTTTCCCACCTGTTCAATCCTTCCCCCTCCACATTCCACATTGTCTCATTCATTCATTGGCTTACTCACTCATTCAATGAACATTCATTGAACATTTACTGTGTGTCAGGAGATATGCCAAGTATGTACATAGAAAGATCAATAAGGTCTGCTCTTACGTTCAGTTAATTTACACCAAATAAACCAGTTATCCAGACCTGATTGTTGTACAGCGTGAGCCTGCCATAGGTCATCGAGAGGTTCTCTGTGGGTGTCCTGGTGTAGGGACGAGCACTTTCCGTGTGTCAGTCCTGTAGGCTGAGGCTGTTATTATCACAAATCCAAGGGATATGACCATAAGCTGAGTGAATGGCTGGCTGTGCACTAAGGGGCTTACCGCCTTGGATAAGAATGGGCAGCTACTGATTGGAAGAACCATTAATGAAGGAGGAAGGTTACCAGGCATGGCCAGGGGTTGAGGAGAAGATTCTTTCCCAAATTAAACATCAGAGCAAGATGTGTGTGAAGCACATGGCAGAGGGCTCAGTACCTGGAATGTTCTGTACATATTGGCTACTTTCTTTCCTTCTTCTCTTCCTTCTTTCATTTCCTCTATCGCCTTCCTATAAATCTATATATTTGCATACTGTAATATACTATACTACATAATATAAACATATTTTAAATACGTAGTTTATATACCTATATATTGATAAATACATAGTGACAACTTAAGTAAAGCCAGGTCAGCAGATGTCTCCATAGAGAACTACACTGATGTCCGATAGAAGATTCTGAAAGAAAATGAAGGTGTCAAGGAGATCCCATCTACTAGTAAATGTAGAGCATGAAGTTTCAGTGGTCATCTTGAAATGCATTTTGTTTCCAAAAAGATGCGTCAGAATGATTCTCTTTGAAACAAGTGGTTGCAAAGAAAAAGCTGCAGCCAAACTTGACTTTCAGGCCTGATCTTTCTGAGCAGCACAGTTATTTAAAAAAATTAGAGAGGACATATATTCCCCAGTATGCCACAGGCCCCACCTGTCCTTACTGTCTTAAAACATCTATCTAACCAGATCCTGCAGAAATTAGAATTTAAAGACCCTGGCTGACTGAGCCAGTTTGACTCAGTGGATAGAGCATTGGCCTGCGGACTGAAGGATCCCAAGTTCCATTCTTGTCAAGGACATATGCCTGGGTTTCAGGGCTCAGTTCTCAGTGGGAGGTGTGCAGAAGGCAGCCAACCAATGATTTTTATCATTGATGTTTCATATATATATATATGAGACTCTGGTGAGGTGGAAAGATCCTGAACCTTAGAGGAGGAGGCCTGGGTTTACTCCCACCCAATCTCTTTCCTCATCTAAGATGATTTTATTGTCATGAAATTGAAAGTCACTGACTACACCACGATCTATTGTAGTAACTGTAGACTGTATTTGGTCAGACAGAAAGATGATGGTCATCAACTCACAGTAGTACTTTAAAACCAAAGAAATTGGTGTGTTAAGCAGTCTTGGCAGAAAATGTTCATCAAATGAATGTTAAAGAATAACTACTGGCATGGATACAGCCCTGATAATGGCATGTAGACTGTGAGATCTCATGGTTCCCACCTCGAGAATCTGTCCATCTTCATCAGCAGGCCCCCCTCTGAACGGTGCCTGGAAACCATGGCAGTGAAGTTCAAGGGCTGGTCTCTTCCCGAGGGTCATAGGCCTGTGATGTGTTGCAGGTCCCTCCGGGTTACCTGGCCTGAACGGCTTGCATGGTTTAAAGGGTCAGAAAGGAACCAAAGGAGCTTCAGGTAAGAGGAAACCCTCCGTGAGAGACTTACCTGCAATCAGTGGACCTCTGGTAGGTATTTCCTCACTTCTCACAATGTGGGCTGTGAAACAGGAAACTGGCTGAGCACAGAGACACAATGATGGGACTCGTTTTAGTGCTGAAGATAACTTATATAAAAAGGACCCTTGAGAAAACCCAAAGTAAGAAGGGATGGTTGGTAACAGTGCCTTTTGTTGATGTTGCTTGGGATGATCTCTACTAAAATACACTGGGTAATTGCTTAGGTGGGGCAAGATTTCACAATGTTATGAAGAACAAATAAATACCCCGGATTTCTTTTTGTCTTGTTTTTGTTTTAGGTGTAGTATTGCCAAGTACAACCATGTGGGTCTAATTAGCACTTTTAGCATCTCTCACACAGCCTGCGGCTAAAACAAATTACCTGAACAAATTACTGTTACTTTGGACATAACAAATAGATAATTATCGACAACTGCATTTTAGTTTGTTCCGGTATTTTGATATAATGCATATTTGTTGCATGACTTTCTCAGAAAAATAGCTCACCATCAAACAAGGTGGCTTGAGTCAGACACACAGATGTGAGGGAAAAGAGTTGAATTGCTGTGCTGCTAGATTTAAGTCTGTTGAATCTTCATACAGTTCAGAAGGCCACAAAGTAAAATTTGGGCCACGTAGGATTCATTTGGTAGCCGTTCTAAATAGTCTGATAAAATGTGTGTTCCCTCCAAACAACCAATGATGCTCTGTCTTTTCAATGTGAAAGTTTACAATAATTCTATATATTAATACATGTCAGTTTCCACCTTCAATTTCAAACCAGTTTATTCATAATTGCTCATTGTTGGATCTCATTTGTTTTTACTCTTTCCATTGTAGAGCTTTGACAGATGGTATTGTCACTGGGTTGTTTTTTTTTTAAATATGGAAAATAATTACAAAGTAGATCAAGCCTATGGTTGACCAGTGTGATGGGTTTTAAGAGAGTAAGTGGTCACCTGGGAAACGTATGCAGCCATTTGGGTCACCATTGAAGCTGAGGTTGGTCTTAGCAGAACCAGCTGCTTCCGGGTCACACACTTACCACTGGGACAAACAGGGAGGAGATACAGTGCTAAAATTGTCTTCTACATTAAGGTTTGAATGAAATGGGCCCACCTGGCCCGATGGGAATGCCTGGGCTAAAAGGAGAGAGAGGTGACCCCGGGAACCCAGGAACTTCTCCTCCAGGCCTTTGTGGAGAAAAAGGTCCCCCAGGCCCTCCAGGTAAGAAGCAGAATGCTTGTCCCCCCTCCACCCAACTCTCCATACTGAAATCAAAATCTCCAAATGTAATGAGGTTCACATCTGGTCATGTCCATCCTCAGGGAGACCTGGACCACCTGGTCCTGCAGGTGCCACAGGAGGACCTCCTAAGGGTTATTTGCCTGACCCTGGTCAGCCTGGAGATCAAGGACCTCCTGGCCCCAATGGCCCAAGAGGTATGGGAAAATCCTGGCCAAGGTTGGTGATGCCCCTTTCCTGAGATGCTGCCAGTTCTGTAGGGAGGGAGGACCAGAGAATGGCAGAGGAGAAGCCCCTCAGCAGCCCCATTATTTGGGCAGATGGAAAGGTGGGGTTGTGGGCAGTGATGGGCTGGCAGGCCCAGGCCCAGGAGAGCCCAGGCCCCTCACTCTTCTATGTCACCCTATCAGACCACCTCTCTGTGAGTACAAAAATCTGAGTCAGAGCAAGCCTTTCCCATCACCAGCCGATGTTGTGTGTGAGTCTGTAGCGGGGCAGGGATCTCATCCTGCCTGTGGGTGTCTGCACCTGCCCCCTAACCCTCTGCCACTGGCCCAGAGTGACAGGACCCAGGCCTGGTGTACACACAGAGACAGAGCTCTCCCTATGCTGCCAAAAGTCCATTTTGCTTCTCCCTTCACTTCCCAGGGACAAACCAGCAAGGCAATATTTAAGGGTTGGACCAGAGCTGGGTAGGGAATGGGGGAAGAGTGTGGCTCAATGCAGTGTTTTGCTAAATTCAGATTATCACATTTCTCCCTATCAAAGAGAGACACAAACCATCTTTAAGTGCTAAACATTTTAGTAAAGGTGGGATTACAGTATTATATAATTCTACTTTACTGCAAAAATAAAGCTGCTTAAAACAGCATAGTTTTAGTAGAATAAAATTTGGGCTCAATTCCTATGTGTACATATTTTTTTTCAAATGTGATTATAACTGAGTGAACATTTCTTTCACATCAACCAAATTTTTTCATAAGTGTATCATTTATTCATCTATGAATCTATCTATCTATCTATCTATCTATCTATCTATCTATCCATCCATCCACCTATCCTCTACCTTATTAAAACAATGGGATAGTAATGCAAACAAAAGGAATGGCTCTGAAGAAAAGGAAGGCTTTGCTTGGGTTCATTTTGTCCAACGGCCACTGACAAACCACTTACACCATTTCTCAAGCTCCACGAGACCTACTCTCTGTTTCACTTCTGACACTATTGATTTTCTCGTTTTTCTAATTCCCTCCATCCCTTGCTTGCAAACCATTAAATTACTCCCCTGAGGAAGCTCCCAGGCAGCTGGCACACAGGTTTGTCTTTGACTGAAAGAACCTTTTGCCTCCTCCCTGTGGCCAGGACCCCCCGGGCCTCCAGGGCCCCCTGGGAGCATTGACCTTCTGCACGGGGATCCAGGAGACTGTGGTCTGCCAGGCCCTCCTGGTCCCTGCGGCCCGCCCGGCCCTCCAGGACCCAAAGGCCTCCCAGGATGTGATGGGAATGATGGCCAGAAAGGTATGAACGCAAGTTGTTCCTTAAGTAGAGGTGAAGGCTTCTGCTCTCTTGTCCTGAGGGTTTGGAGTGCTGGACCACCATGACCTAATTCTTATTTTCTGTTGAGTCAGTGGCTGTATTGCCCAAATGTCCTGCCTTTCCAAAGAGTCCTCAAGTTCTGGTAACTATCAGACAAGTAAGATGAAAAATGCAAGTTCATCATAAAAGCATACTTGGTAACCTCTTAGACCAGAACCGAACAACAGAAATATAACGCTGTGTAATTAAATGACGTAGGCGGAGGTGACCTTGATTTGCACCATGCAGGACCAGCAGGACTTCGTGGGCGGGAGGAGGAGTGGAGACAGCTCATGCCAGGCACCGAACGGCTGGCCGGGGGGGGAAACGGAGAGTGAGACGGAGAGTGGTGGGGACTTAGATCTGGAGTTGGTTCTCCAGGTAGCGCAGCATCTTCCCTAATTTTCCTTCACTGCAGTTCTTTGACTGTCTCCAGAGGAAGTTCAGGATCGCAGGGCTTCTTGCTCTCATTTAGTTTTGTCTTGGTCATGGGACCATTTTCCTGAGCCCCTTTGATGGATTCTGGGATTTCCTTCCCACATAGGCAGTTCTCAGCTTCACAGAAGAAAGTGAGAGACTGCTCTCGACCCGGAGCCAACTTTACCTAGCATTTTGTTGGTGTGAACTTCTGAATCCTGTCCATCAAACTGTCACCAACTGGTATTGATCTGTTCCACTGCCCTTGTTTTTATATGTTCCTTTTAGGACCAATGGGGTTCCCGGGGCCACAGGGGCCACATGGACTGCCAGGGTCACCTGGAGAGAAGGGTGTACCTGGCCCTCCGGGTAGACAAGGGCCCCCTGGGCCTGCAGGTGAGCTCCTGATGCCTCCTCCTCTCCACCCAGCAGCCCGCACAGGGCGCTTCGCAGGAACACTTCCTCTCACAGTCCTCTTTCAGAAGCAAGTCTTCTGAAGGCAGCACGTTCTTCTGAGTTCTGTCCTTTTGAAATAAAGGTTGCATTTACTTCAGGCTGCACTGCAAAGTCTCCTGTTTGGTGAACTAATATGTACTATTAAAATGGGAAAGTTTGAACACTAGAGGTGGATTTTACACCTACTATCTCGACGATGAATCAATCTGTGTTGTCTCACCCAGGAGTCAAAGACTGAGTTGATTATTGTTCTGTGAGGATGGCATAATCAGTTCCTATCTCTGACTTCCCATTGGTTTTGCTAGATGCTTTATTTAATGTTTTCTGTAAAGTGCATTAATGCCTATGAAGTTGAAAGGCTATTTAATTTAAATCCCATAGACCACATGTTTTCATCCGAGTGTCAAAATAAACTAACGGATTGTTGAAAGGGCAAACAGATGTGAGTATTTGAGATGGGCAGAAGTAATATCTCTCAAGATCTTACATCAATATTATGGTAATGTGGCATCAGTTCAGAATATCTGGCTATCTCCTAAATTAGCACCCTAGTCCAAAGAATAAATAAACTGCACTGCTCCATAGTGGATCATAGTTGAGCATGACAGAGAGCTAATACTCTGATTCATCTCATACTTCCTTTGTTTACACAAAGTATAAAACTTGGCAAATTAATATGGAATTTTTTAGAAGCCTTCAAATAGGCAGAATTTTTATTTACATTAAATTGGGGCATATTTAAAAAAAAAACAACTCAAATTTTATGTGGTGCAGAAGAGCTTCATTTCAGATTTTTCTAGATATGAAAGCTCCATTACTAAGTCATAGCTGTTCTTGTCAGTAACACTCTGGGATATATATATATATTCTGATTTATATAATATATAAATATATATATATATAAATATATATATAAATAATATATATATATTCTGATTTTAGAAAGAGAAAAAAGGAGAGGGAGAGAGGGAAACATCGATTGGTTGCTTCCCATACATGCCCTAACCAGAGGTCGAACCCACAACCTAGGTATGTGCCCTGACTGGGAATCCAGCCTGCAACCTTTTGGTGTATGGGACCGATGCTCCAACCAACTGAGCCACTCGACCAGGACACACTATGTGGACTTTTTAATGTCATGCTGCTTGCTTTCGATGCTGTCTTCAATTTAATATTTATGTTCTCAACAATCTATTTCATGATTGTCCTAATTCATGATTTAAAATCTCTTTCTACCACATGAAAATCATTGTGCGGCCTCGTTTTTGCCTTTGGATCTCTCCAGGTGACAGAGGTAAGCGTTGCTATAAAATGAATAATTTCCTCTAACTCTTATTTTCAGCTACCTCTCTACTTCCATTTTTCACTGCATTTGGGAGTACAACTTGTTACATTTATATATGTGGGGTCCTGTAATTATATTGGTTGTAATGCCTTTGCTTGCTCGTTACAGATATAGTAACCCCGTATTAGACTGTCCTATGCTGAGCCTCATTGCAGGTTGTCAGGGACTGTGCAAACTCAGCTTCCATAGTTTCAAATCAGGCCCAGAATATATGACTTTCTCTGTCAGATGCCAAGGTACCCACCAACAGAAACTTCTTTTATAAACCCACAGTGTAAATGCCTGGAACACCCCTAAAATAAGTGGTATCAGAGGCATGAAAAGATGGGTCCTTAACACCCAGTAAGCGGCTTCAACAAGCCTTTCCTGGGGCACCGGAAGCCCATTTCAAGGAGCAAATTTCTTTGTGTGTTCAAGTGAAAAATGCTATTATTCATGTAAACTGAGTGTTCATTTTAACCCCCCACAATGCAAAAGCAACGTATAATTTTATGCTTGGCATTTTCAAAGAGAATGGAGTTTCTCAAAAGAAGGAAAGCAAAGCTGTGAACGCTTGCATTTCTTCCTTCCTGGCACCTGGTATTAACCCCTTGAAAGTTGCCCTGGATACAGATGCCCTATATCATCACCAGGGTGCTTAAAAGAGATGTCTTGGCCTCTTTCTTTCAGCTTATGGTATATTAAAAAAAGAAGAAAAAAAGAAAAGCAAAATCATAATTTTAAAAAAATCCTGCTCTTATAAATGTCTATATTTTATTTAATTTATTTTTTTAATTTATAAATGTCTATATTTAAAAATGACAGTTGTATATTTACTGAGTTTTCACTTCAACCCTTTTACTGTATCTCTGTGACCGTATGTATCAGCTCATTTGAAGAAACATCAAAATCCTAAATCTGAAGGTCCAGCCAAATGCATCCCCACACTCACTTCCCTTCCCTGCTGCCTCCACTCCTTCACTGCTGGTGAGCGACAGGATGACTCAGGGAACTCAGGACATAGTCACTGGCATTTGTCTCAAGTAGCTCCCAATGCAAGAGACAAGTTTTACATCAAGCTTTCCGTACAGTAAAAATGCACCCAGCTCATCGTTGCTGTGGTTTCATACAGTATTCAAAAGAAGCTAAATTCCAATGTCCTTATAGGGTTCAAATTCGATATGCACAGGCACAGTCACCATGGTGTAGACTCAAACAATGTGATTGTGGCATGTTCTTGGTTTTTCTTGCTGCTTTATCATTGCTGTTCTTAAAACTATTTTGCCCATTTGTATAAATTTTAAGACAACCTGTAAACAGGTGTTAAAATATGCTGCATTTCTTGGCATTTACCATACAGATGTTAAAAGCTCCGAAGGCACTATGGTGTGGCCGGGAAGAACACAGGTTTGGAGTCAGAACATATTGGATTCTAATCTAGACCCTGCCACGTGCTATCTCAGACCGGTCCACCATTTAGCTGAGCCTGAGCTTTCTTCCAGTGACCCCCTAGTAACAGCAGCACATACACACGGGCTGGGAGCAAGCAATTGTGAAGCACTGGGCACAGGGCCTTCAGTACATGTTAGCTATTACTATTATTGCTTAGGGTTATTATTTCTTCTTCTTTGTGGACTGTTTGCAGAGGGACTGAATGAAACTTTAGGGAAAAAATTCCTTAAAGATGTGAATGTAACCAAGAAGAGAGACATTTCAAACCTCTAGAGCAGTGGTTCTCAAAATGAGAGCCCAGGTGGGCACCATTGGCCTCATGGGAACACGTTAGACATGCAGAGGTTGGGCATGCCCAGTCCTGCTGGCTCAATATTCTGAACTCTTAACAGTCTTGCCAGATGATCCAAATGTGCTAAACTCAGAACTGCAGCTTTGCACTGGTGCTTCTCAGTCCTGGCCCACACTGGAATCATCTGGAGAAAAATTGGTGCCTGGGCCCGAGCCACCCCCCCCCCCCCCCCCCCCCCGAAATTCTTGTTTAATAATTCTAGGTGGAAATGACTTATGTGCACACATATGAGCCTAACCAGTGGTCAAGGACAATAGGGGTGGGGTGGGGACATAAGTGGAGGTGGGAGTGGAGGGTTCTAATGGGGGGTTGAGGGCAAATATGTGATACCTTAATTAATAATAAAATTAATTAAAAAAATAATTCTAGGTGGGTCCCAGCACCTAGAATTTTTAAAAACTCCCCAGCAGGGTTTATCAGACAACCAAGCTTGTGGGCACTGCCCAGGCCACATCCTGTACCAATTCAACCAGAATTTCTGTGGCAGGATACAGGCATCAGTATTTTATAACTGCCCTAGGTAATTACAGTGTGAACTCAAAGTTAAAAATCATGCTTTGGTACCTATATTAATCCCAAAGTTTTCTCTCTCTGAGTAGCAGATACTATGGAACCACACCTGGCTGCAATGTAGAGTGATGAAGACAGATGTTAAGCTGAGCATTAGGAATACACCAATACCTCTCCCAACACCACCTGTGGCTGGGTCCCCAGTAAAAAGTGGCCCAAACATTGGAAATCCTGTGAAGTGCACCAAATTATTGCTGATTCAACCAACCTTCATTATTTCATACTTTTTTTTTTTTTTTTTTGCTTCCTAAAGGAGATCCCATTCACTTAATTATTCAGTCAGTCAGTAATTTGACAAAATGCTTTCTGAAGGTTACAAGGGCTATCAAACAGTTTCAACAAGGTGCAGGGTCAGAAGCCCTTCTAACTTGAGATGGCAGAAGGGGCTTGTTCATAACTATTATTATTGGCAATTCCAATTTCAGGCGAACCGGGGCCACCTGCAGATTTGGATGCCTGCCCCCGAATCCCGGGGCTTCCTGGGGTACCAGGCCCAAGAGGACCAGAAGGAGCCATGGGGCCCCCCGGAAAGAGAGGCCCTCCGGGAGCAGGTAGGAGCCTGACACTGATGGTTCATTATTGGTATATACATACTGCTGACGTGGAAACTCAGTGTTTTTGTTTGTTTGTTTTTTGAGCCTAAACAACTAGTGCAGATGCAGTAATTAAAATGTTCTTCCCTTGTATATATATATTTTTTCTACATTTATCCAAAGGTTTAATTATATACTAATTGGGTCATCTTGGTCCTTCCATTTTTATGTTGAAATTTTACTTAAGTCTTCTATATTTGAGCAGCTTGTGGACATGAGGTTTTGAAACTTCTTAGTACAACAGAGTAGATGCTCTGTGCAATGTCATTAATAGCTGTTGACTTGATTTTTTCAATGAAGAACAACTTAATTTGGGTCCCCTAGAGCAGAAACAGCATACAAGCAGGGAGAAGGAGGTGTATCCTTGGAGGAGCAAGAGGGAGAGATGAGGGAGGTTCACTCTAATTACGGCAATGACTGCATTGTTTATTTAATCTGAGCATTGCTCAGTCCTTGTCAGGTAGCGGATCCTTATTTAAGGATTTAAACTAAACCATCCCTTTGAAAAGTGTGCTCCAAATAATTTATCTTCTCTTCTCATATCTCCACCTACTTGGGTAACCTACAAAGCGATTAGGAAGTCGGGGCTGGTCTTCCGGTTTCAGACCAATTAACAGTGCCCCTTGGTTCTAGAAACCTGTGTGCAAATGGTCCTAAGAGACACAAGGCCATTACAATCTCATCTTCCCAGCCACCCTGCTATTGTTTTAGTTCTTTTTTGTTTTAGGACCGAAGGAATTGGGAGTAGGAATTTTACACCACCTGCTTTTCTCCCAGGTGGTGGAGGACCCTGAGATGCCCCTCCACTGAAGTCTGAATAGTTCTTGGGTGATGTCTACTTTAGAGCCTTCCTAAAAGTTGGGGGGTTGGGGCAAAGGGGCTGTTGTTTGTACTTGCTGCTCTGTATCTGCTTTTGTGCACTAAGTTAACTGCTGTTCACTGGAGCCACTTTCTCTGAAAGCCCACAAGCCCTGGGAATTGGCAATCACTTCTCCTCTTAGTTTTGACCCTCAGCGCATGGACAAAGCTCTTAGTCAGGCGGGGTAACTCGCCTCTCAAACTGCTTTTAAAACTAAGCTGCCTTGTTGTATATATATTTGCAGAAATGAGAGCTGCCCCCAAACTTTACAAAATAGCTTCCAAGCAGAAGCTATAGCCTATAATGGGGCTCTGCAAATTCAGTTCACAAAATGCTTCCAGACTCTTTCTCTTCAGAAAGTAGTAGCAGTACAGATGTGGGTAAGATGTTCTTTCCTGCCCCTGCCCTGGGGTCTCACAGCCTCATGGCAGACATGGCCAGAAGAGCATAAGTCATGCTCAATAAGGAGAGATAATAATTTGCATTTTAAAGGAGTTTCAAGGAAAAGCATTTATGAGAATGAGACCAGGAGTGGTGAATCCTGTGTGGAGATTGTATTATAGGACTGCTAAGATCCCAGCAAGGGGTAGCATTGGAGCGGAGCCTTGGAGGAAAGATTGAGCTTAGAAGAACCAGAATTGTCCAACAGGGAGACACAGGAGCACAAATGGGGGCAGGTCGGCCTAATAACCTGGTAACAAAGAGCCAGCCCCATCCTTCCCACCCAAAGTACAGTCACACCCCAGACCTACTGAATTAGAATCTGCAATTTAACAAGATCTCCAAAATATTGCAAGTTTGTTCAAGTTTGAGAAACCCTAACTATATTATATGAATGCTGCCCTTAAAGTTCAGTTAAGAGTGACACCTTCCCTGTGCCTCAGTCCTAGCTGTAGGTTAAAGTCACCTACAGGGCTTGCGAAAGGCTGATGTCTGGGCCTCATCCCAGAGCAATAAAATGCAGAGGAAAGCAGAGCCCCAGTGTCAGGGTTTTAAGAAAGCTCCTCAGATGGCTGGGGCAGGCAGCCAAGGTTGAGACCCATTGCTTCCTGGTGGCTTTGGAAAATAACCAAGGAAAGCAACCGAGAAGAAAAAAGTCATCTGGGCAAAGTCTGTACACTTTTAACATAGTAGCGATCTTGGGCACATGTGAGTTTCTCGTTTCATAGTGCGCTCCTGACAGAGCCCGACAGCCTCTGGGCCCAGGTGTGCCCACCTGTCATCTCCAATTCCCCCCGACGTGGGGTCAGATGGGCTTATCCGGCCGCAGGTGACCACGGAGGTCCTTCTCTGGCTTCCTGTGCCCTCCCCTTATTGATGCCACCGACCCTGCCTGCTGGCCATGGGAATACCCTCAGCCACAGCTGTGCCACAGAATGTGATTATGTTAAGTCAGGGCTGCCCCACTCCATAGCTCAGCTTCCTCCTGTGTACCCTCTTTCAAACCATGCTTTCTTCTGGGCTCCCCTTCTTTGATGGGTGCTCCTGGCCCCTATTATAAAGGACCCCTCTTTTCCTTGGTCCCCTCTTCTTCTTCCTGCTGACCACCCTGGATCCGTTGGCCACACTGTCCAGTTGCTAAAAAGTGAGGAGTCTATTCTGAGGGTCTGAAATGGCTCAGCACTGACTGACCTGGGTTATCTGCAAGTGGGAGGGGCAGCAAACACTGCTCCCCCCACCCCCCAAGGTTGGCTGTGAAGGATCAGCTGCCACTAGGAAGTCCCACCTCAGCTGCTACTAGGAAGTCCCACCTCTGCTTAAAATGACATTGTTATTTTCTCCTGTTTCCCTTAAAATGTTTCTCATTGCTGAGCCGATGAAACCAGGCACATAACCAGGCGTTGCAGCTGAGATCTACATAGAAAAAAACCCACCTGCTCTTTCTCACCCTGGTGAGCGTGGGTCACAGCCACACCAAGTATCACTCGGTGTGTTAAGGGGCCTCCACCACGGAAAGTCTAGTACTTTTCTTTTCACACGTCTCTGATGCTTCAAAGGCTGAGGCTCCCGGTGACAAATACAAGGCGGTTTCCATTGTGGTCCGAACTGTTACTGCCTAATGGACGTGCCCACATCCTGTTGAGGTGTGTTTCTCTTCAAGTCACATGTGACCCTCTCAGCGGAGGTAATCATCGAACACTGGAGGGCTCTTAGATGTCATTTTATTTTTTAAAGCAAGTTCCAGGTAGAGAGTAAGTCCAGGTAGTAGAAAGCTCTGGGCACACAACTCGAGCTAGCAAAAGTCTTCCTTCCTGTCTTCGGAAATGTCACCCACCTGACTAGTACTCTGTCTTCCCTAATGGGAGCAAAGCTACATGATAACATCTGGTGAGAGAACTCTTCTCCCAGATCCACAGAGATCTCATTCACTCGACACCTCAGGGGAGACACCCTTGATCTCTTCCATGAGCAGCCTGGTCGCTGGCTTGTCTTATCAGCATGTGGGCAGCCCCTTCCAGAGAGCACAGTGGTCACTTGTTGGAATCATCTCGTTGAGTGGAGAGAGAAAGGATGTTCTGAGTTCAATAGGGTTAAGGTTAGTGTTAGGATTAGGGCCCTGTGTTCCCCTTCCTCCCCCCCCACCCCCTGATAATAGATATGTTCTTTGAAGATAGCTGATTTGTGGCAGAGAGAGAGGACAGAGAAGGAGAGAGGGAGGGATAAGAAAAAAGAGGGAGGGAGAGGTTCAGAGGAAATGAGAGGGAGAGTAAAAGAGGGAGAATAATAACTAGAGACTGGAAGCCTTGAGAGGGCTAGTAAATTGGGGAACTAGGGCTATTGGCAATACACTGCTTCACAGCAAGGACCATGTCTGCTACTCCGAGCAAAGGACATTGTGGCAAAGAATTGATGTCTTGGCCCAAAGTAAGCAAGCAAACACTTAAAGAACCCTTCGAATACCAATGTGACTGTGCCAAGTCCCTCATCATACGTCCACCAAGGAGCACACCTGAGCTCTGCGCCTTGTCCTGAAGCAGGTGGCTGATGGTACAGCCTCTGGACTCAGCCAACCTGGGCCCCTTTTCCCATTCACATGTGACTGGCTCTGCAGCAGGTCTGAGCCTCAGTCTCCCCACTGGTAGCCTGGCACATATGAGGACCTGAGCACATGGCTGCTGTCAAGGCTGAATTAGATCATCCACCCAACAGGATTGTTGTGGTACTTAGCACTTTATAAATACTAAAAAAAAAACAACCAAACAAAAATAACTATGCAAAAAAATTGCTCTTCTTATCTGGCTCCAAATTTAACTTGACCTCTAACTGAATCTTATTAAATTTCATTCATTCATTCATCCAGGCTTTTAAAAAAAATCAGTATTAAGATAATATATTTTTAATTTGGTGCTTTTTATTTTAATTTTTTAAAATACATTTTATTGTTTTTTTCAGAGAGGATAGAGAGTTAGAAACATCAATGAGAGAGAATCATCGATCAGCTGCCTCTTGTACACCCCCTACTGGGGATGTGCCCACAACCAAGGTACATGCTCTTGACCGGAATCGAACCCGGGACCTTTCAGTCGGCAGGCCGATGCTCTATCCACTGAGACAAACCGGTTTCAGCAGTATTAAGATAATATTTAATGGTGAAACCCATACAGGTTTAATGTAAAAAAATAAAATAAGTAAAAGGTCAGATATATAAGAATGTGAAGAACATGTGAAAATTCTCAACACCGCCCTGTTCTGGCCGCAGATCCTGCCTCTGCCCGTTATTGGCTCTTGGGCCTTGATTAGCAAGTTGATTGGCCTTTCAGAGCCTCAGTCACCCCAGTGCCAAGTGGAGACAGTATTCACTGGCAGGTGAAATGCGCTGGGCAGTTCAGGTGGAAGCTGTGTATGCACAGTGAGGCTGCAGCCAGCAGGTGTCACATGGTTCTCACACTGCCATTGTGGACTTTGTGCAGGGTGCAAAGGAGAGCCTGGGCTGGATGGCAGGAGGGGCGAGGATGGCATCCCAGGGCCACCTGGGCCTCCGGGACACAGAGGGGACCCGGGAGAAGCCGGCTGCCCTGGAGCACCAGGTAAAGAGTTTCAGTTTCTCATCTTCCTTCTGACAAGCAGATCTGAGAACTGGGCCCGAGATCCCCAGCTCTTGGGCAGCTGTTCAAGCTGATCTGTGAAAAGCATTGGCCTAAGATGCCAACTCACCAGGTGCCAGGGAGATGAAAACAGCAAGAACAAACTCGGAGGTACCCCCACATTCTGACTCTCACCCACCCTCCAGAGGAGTCAAGGCCCTGTCTCCAGTCCAGTCTTTTCCCAAAGCATTGGTCCTTATCACAAAGGGCTCAGCCATCTCAGAGGCCCCATGTGCCAAGGTAAGCCTGGCACCTGCCATGTGACCACCTTTGAGAGGCTGTGCTGAGAATCCTGGGATGATGGATGGTTCTCACCCTCGATTTACCTGGCCTCTGGTTTTCTGAGTTCACTTCATCTGACTGTACAGCCCTCGATAAATGTATGTAGCATGCCCAGCTCCTTCCTAAGGAAAATGTTTGGGAGTGGGCATTGTGTGAGGGGAGGGAGAAGACGCCTCAGGACAGAAATGTGAAATACAATGTGCCTGGATAAATGCTAGGCTCCAGGGACCTAGAGACCAGAGGGGTGAGGAGGGCGGGGCAGGCTCTGCCACCAGAAGGAGCCCCGCCTGAAGCCGCAGCGCAGCCTGGGCCTGTGGTTGCCACGTGGACATGCAGCCCCCTGCCCCCTACACACTGCTTTTCAAGCCCAAGACCTCATCTTAGAAACCCTGGTTGGCCAAACAACACCCGGGAGCAGGCCTGATCCAGTCCATAGCTACGACTTTGCAAACTTGCGTGTGCAGTGCAAATGGTTCAGAGAGACAGAGGGTCTTCCAAAAGCAAGTTAAAAAAGACAACCATTTGGTTGTAATGTCAAGCTTCACCTTTTGCTCTTGGCAATTAGAAATTGCCATAGGCCTCTTCGGTCGGTCAGTCCCTGAGGTGTGCCAGAGGGGACAGGCCCTGCTCACGTGCTGCAGGCCTCATTATTTCCCACCTGCCACTGAGAATTTTGGAACTAGGCCTTCCCCCCACATCTCCCTTTATAAAAAGATCAAAAGTCCAACTTACGGCTCCTTCTTAGAATGAGACTGATAATATGCCAGAACCATGAGACGGGTTCTGGAAGTTGGGAAAGACCTAACCCCCCTCCCGGCCACCACCATACAAGCAAAAGTATATTTAGAAAGTCACAGAATGTGAGCAGTGGAGAAAGTGAGCCAGCTGGGCTGCTTGGGCATAGGAAACAAGTTAAAGAGGCAAAAGAAGGCCCTAGGGGCTTAGGAGAAAGCAAAGAGGCACACATGCCTAAAGGGAGAAGGTGCAGGCCCCTCTAGAGAGAGACTGCAAGAGCAAGCCAGGGAGACCAACTTTGAGAACCACCTTTTTGGCCCGGCAAGTGCCCAGTCCAGGCTGGAACGACTGGAAGATCACATGTAGGTGTGCCATCATCCTGTTCTAGTTCTTTCTCTCAGTGCCCATCACTTTTTAACGTATTTCACACTTTACCTCGTTATTGTGAGTATTGTTTGTCATGTCTCCAGGAAGAGTGTAAGCACAGGGGGTTCTGTCTGTTTTGTTTTTATGCTAACACAGCCCAATGCTTGTAGGTTGTTTGGAAAACACACACACTTGCAGAGTGAGCGGTGTGTACCGATCGCAGGGGTGTGAGGGAGCAGTGGGCCCTGCCATGTTCCTCTCGGGTCCGAGTGCTTATTGAAGCGCTGGACAAAGGTGCTCAGAAATGTTTGTGAAACTGAACCCCCTAAATGACTTTCCTTTTTTTTTTTTTTTTTTCCTTTATTCCTCCAGGCCCTCCTGGGCCCATTGGGGATCCTGGGCCCAAAGGGGTCGGCCCTGGATACCTCAGTGGCTTCCTCCTGGTCCTCCATAGTCAGACGGATGGAGAGCCTACCTGCCCCAAGGGCATGCCCAGGCTCTGGACAGGCTACAGTCTGCTCTACGTGGAAGGACAGGAGAGAGCACACAATCAGGACCTCGGTACGTACAGAGCGCTGGCCGCCCATGTGCATTGCCTAAGAGTAAACCTGCTGGGTTAATTTTATAAGCTCAAGAATATCAAGTGATTACTCATCTTCTTTGGGATTCCCCCCCCTCTATTTATACTACCATGCTGATTCTCAGGGAAGTTAAATCTGTGATCCTGTGACGTGCCAAAGGGATCATTCTGGCTACCGTTATTATTTCTGGCTGGTTATTATTGATAGTTTTTCAAAACTTATGGTTAATAAATGAGATGTAACTCTGGTGTAAAATGGGATTTTTCACTTCCCCATGTGAATTATCTGAATGTAAAGTGTGTATAGGCAGCATCCTGATGCTTTCATGGTGTGGCGGTTACCAGCACCAACTCCTGCCCTGCTCCAACTGAGGTGTTTTTTATTAATTTTTAATTTTTATTTATTTTTATATATTTTTAAATTTTATTAATTATGGTATCACATTATTGTCCTCATCCCCTCATTTCCATCCCAAACTCCTCCTCACTATGCCCGCACCCCCTTGTTGTCCATGGCCACTGTCTAGGCCCATTTGCATGCACACAAGTCCTCTGGTTGATCTCTCTCCCTTACCCCCACCCTCCCCGACTTTCCCTCTGAGGTTTGAGAATTTGATCACTGCTTCTCCTTTGAATGTCCAACTGAGTTTGAGAGTCATCCTTGGCACTGCTTGTCCGTTTTCAATAGCAGATTTGTGAGACTGACTTCAAGCCAAGAGTTTAGGCACTGGGGTGCTGGCAAATGCTACCATTCCCAGATAATGAAAGTTGGGGTGGGAGCACAGGAGGGAGATGCCTGCAGAGACGGTTGATGATGGGGTGAGTTTTGTCACTGCTCTCACTGGGCCTGACCCCTCACTGGGCTGTCATGGTCAAAGGGTGCAGGCCTGGAGGTGGCAGCTACTGACATGTCCCTCTCCATGTCTCTCTGGGGCTCAGCCATGGCCTCTCCCATCGGAGGGGTTAGGGGAGAGGAAGTACGTACGTCCATATCTGACGGTTTGCGTCTCTTCTCTCCTTCCTGCCTCCGGTCTCTTTCTTGCTTGGCCTCGCCAGCAGTCTCACTTCTCTGTCCCGGTCCAGCCAGGGCACACATCCCAAAGCTCTGCAGAGCTATTGCGAGAAAACCCAAGCCCCTTAACCAGACAGACACAGCCTGCATGCTGTCCGGTTGACCTCTGGTTGAGAGAGAGACACACAGACCTCCTCTCCCTCCTCTCTGCCCTGAACTGAACATCTGAGATCCCCGAGCTTCATGCTATCTCCGCGTCTTGACCCTCTTTCCTCTGGATCTTCTTTGAATAGTCTTCACCTTCTCCAAACCTTTGTCATTCAGGTTCTAGCTTCAGTCTGGTTAGCCGTCCCGTAAGTCCTGGCCCACAGTTCTCATCCATAGGGCTTGTCACTCTCTGTTTTCACTGCCTGTGTATTCCTCCAGCCTCCCACCGGGTCAGGCCCGGAGCCTGAGGAAGAGAGGAGTGCCTGTGACTCTGCTTCCCGCCCCTGGCTGAGTGCTCGGCTCAAGAGTGATGCATGGCTGTGGGAATGAGGGCTGGTCCCCCGGGGACCAGGGAGGTGGCAGAAATGGTCAGGCACATACCTACTTTCGCCAGCACAGAAGTAGACTTTGTCCGGGGCCTCCATGTGCCCAGACCACATGTCTATACACGGCACACGCAGGAGGGTCACGGGGCACGCTGTGGCTCAGAAGCCAAGCTGTCTCTTCTCTTTTCCGAGGTCTGGCGGGGTCTTGCCTCCCGGTGTTTAGCACACTGCCCTTCGCCTACTGCAACATCCACCAAGTGTGCCACTACGGCCGGAGGAACGACAAGTCCTACTGGCTGGCCAGCGCCGCGCCCCTGCCCATGATGCCACTGTCGGAGGAGGACATCCGCCCCTACATCAGCCGCTGTGCTGTGTGCGAGGCCCCGGCGCAGGCGGTGGCGCTGCACAGCCAGGACCAGTCCGTGCCCCCGTGCCCGCGGGCCTGGCGGAGCCTCTGGATCGGGTACTCCTTCCTCATGGTGAGTCCCCGCACCCCACGGTCTTGTCACAGCCTCTGCTGTCCCCTGTGCACAGTAGTTCTGTGAACTCCGGGCATATGGGCAGCAACAGGACATGTGGTCATTTTTCCTCACTGTCAGTTAGGGTTTTTTATTTTTTATTTTTTATTCTACTCGGTAGCGTTTAGAAGCTGGAGATGATTCAGGCATCGGTGAGAATGATTGAATTTTGTGGGCACCCAACTCGTCTCCACTGCCCTTCCCCTCAGCAGATCTAGTCTGGTCTTCTTGGAATCATTTCAGGCAAAAATGAGAAAGTCAGGCCCAGATCTCGGCTTGTCCCCGACTGGGTCTGGGGTTGTCTGCGTGTGTCTGAGCCCTAATTCTCTTGTTGTCCTGGCAGCACACAGGTGCTGGGGACCAAGGAGGAGGGCAGGCCCTCATGTCACCCGGCAGCTGCCTGGAAGATTTCCGAGCAGCTCCCTTCCTCGAATGCCAAGGCCGGCAGGGGACTTGCCACTTCTTTGCAAATGAGTACAGCTTCTGGCTGACGGCGGTCAAGCCCCACTTGCAGTTTTCCACGGCACCATCGCCGGAAACCTTAAAGGAGAGCCAGGCCCAGCGCCAGAGAATCAGCAGGTGTCAGGTCTGCATGAAGGTCAGCTAGAGAAGCCAGGACTCCCCCACGTGCCACCGAGAGACACTCCCCAGGGGCTCGGTGGTCCCGGGCCGTGCTGAGATTTAACGGTGCTCATTTCCGACTCCCGTGATAGCAGTTCATCCTGTTTGATTGCGTTTATTCCCACAGTACTGTACTTCTCTGTTCTGGACAGGTTAAGCAAATGCTACGTGTATGGACAAGGTTGGACCCACCAATCTAGATGAAATCCAGATCTCCTTATTTTATTGGGGAGGATAGAAGAGCTGGCTTTATAATAATAATAAAAAATGCACAGGAAGGCAAATAGATGATAAAGGGCAGATTACAAGCTACATTACTGAAAACTCCATTCATTGCTCAACAGCACATCAGACAATTAAAGTCAGTTACTCTGGAATATGGGGCGGCTCCTGGGTGGATTTCACAGGAAAAAAATAAATAGGCCAACAGATGAAACTGGAAAGGAGAGATTTCCAACGTTTCAAAATGATTTCCTCCGTAGTCTATTTTTTCCCATGTACTTTAAATAATGGCAAAACCATGACCCGACGAGATTTAAAAACAAAAATCCACACAGCCAGAATGAACAGCTCATTTCAAAGCAGGCTGAGGAGCTGTGCCAGAAAGGACCACGCGGCCGTATTCCGGAGATGTGGCATTAGCATAAACACATTGCAGATGAACGTAAAACATTATGCTCTCCGCTGCATCTGTCAGAGGATGGCGGTGCCTACTCTGGCAATCCGTTTGAAAAGCAGCAATTATGGAAAAAATATATTCAATGAGGGATTAAGAGCCTAAAAGCTGTTAATGAATATTAAGACAGTGATTCACAAAAATTGACTTCCCATGGCAGCGAACTTCCAAACAGGCAGCCTTTCCCCAGTCGGGGTCCAGCTTGTCTTCAGTGCGTGCGTACTAATGGGACGGAGGCCACCTGGGACTTCCCCAGGCAGCTTGCGGCTCATACAAAGCATCCCGCTCAGGCCCCCAGCGGCCCCTGCAGAGCTGGCTCGTAGCCCACAGTGGACACTCTGCTTCCTACACATAATAGCATCTCACACCGGGGAGTGAAAGAGCTATCATTACGCCCTTCCAAGAAAATGAAGGGCCGACTTCATTAAACTTAGGTAAGAAGATTCCTTTAAGTCACAATCACCCCACCAGGAAGAAGAAAGAACAGCGTTATCTTTCGGTGCAACAAAGACAATTTACAATGTGAGTTCTATGTTCCTATTATTCATTTTCATAGGAGCATCCTGTTTTCCCAATTTAAAGAACATTCTTATATGTTCTATCGGTATTACTCCAAGGCAGCAGTTTGATATGTGGTGTTAACATTCTCTACAAACGTTTAGGAGTTACGTCCATTTATAAGGAGTAGTTTTCTGAGTAGCAAAGGCTATGTTTCCTGTTTTGGCAGGATTTCAGTAGTCTAATCACAAATATCAAAAGGCTCGTTGAAAAATATTTTTAGGAAACTTGCCTTTCTCAATTAAAAAAAAGTCACTTTAGAGAAAATGAAAGACATTTCTCATGAGAGAGTGACACTCATTTTGGTGCTGTTTCAATGCACTTAAAAATAATTGAGAGAAGGAAAACTCAATTAAAAGTTTGTTTATAAGAAATGGTTTCCTGGCCAAACGTCCATTAGGAATGTGCCCTTATACGCAGAAAACATTTCAAATGAGTCTTGTTATGAGGTGTCTCTGGATGATAATTTACTTTAAGAATACTTTCTGGTAAAAAAAGAAAATATGTACATTTTAAGATGGAATGCTTTCTTGAGTCCATTTGACCCATTCATTGATGTTCTTAAACTATGCTATGGCATATTACATAGTTTTAAGCACCTGAAATTTAAGCCAATTTCAACCTTATTTATACTTACAATTTTCTGTCTCCTAAAGCTTTATCCTATGTTACCAAAATATTTGAGATTGTTCAAAATACTGGTTTCATACATAGGAGCCCTTTCTAAATGTAACAAATATAACAAAATGCTGCCTTCTGATTTTTAAAAAACATATATTTATTGACTTCAGAGAGGAAGGGATGAGAGATAGATAGATAGAAACATCAGTGATGAGAGAGAATCATTGAACAGCTGCCTCCTGCATGCCCCCAACCCGGGATCGAGCTCATAACCCAGGCATGTACCCTTGACTGGAATCAAACCTGGGATCCTTCAGTCTGCAGGCCGATGCTCTATCCACTGAGCCAAACTGACTAAGGCTGCCTTCTGATTTTTAAGAAAAAAAGAAAAAGAAAGAAAAGCATTTTAAATTATCTAGATGGAAAAATTACTTATTGGAAGAGAAGACCACTTTGTTTTAAGCCATTATTTTCTCCCCCCGGTCATATATCAATGTACTCTGAAATGTCCTTTGTCTGTGAAGGATGGACAAAGCTTTCAGGCTGTTCTAATCCATCACAGGTGGTTGTGGGTACCAAAACCTCCTTCCCGAGAACCCCTCTCCCGCTTTGCTGGTTGAACCGAGTCTAGGTTGCCTAGTGAGAATTGCTCCGAGTCATGAGCTGGGGGCCGCAGGTTTCCTTTGGGGTTCATGTTCTCAGTGAGTGGAGCCCCATACATCAAGGGACCCAGGTGTCCAGACTGCGAGTGGTGGCCCATTCCTGCTCCTCTCATATTCCAAAGGCCAGAGCTTCGTCACTACCCAGCCTCCCTTCCTCTCCAGCCTCACTGTACCTGCCTAACAGCCTTGTTTTCCACCTACACTCTTGTGGTAGACACCCCCAACTCATGCCTCTGCGTGCCAATCCCAGTTGTTATCTATCTATGATGCAAATTTGATTGTTATTCTTTGGCTTAAAATTCCTTCCAAGACTCTCCTGCCTCTGGAGTGCAGTGACCTCCCACGAGGTGAAGGGGCCTGCAGGGCTGTCTGAGCTGCCTCTGTGCTCACCAGAGAGGTGGGCTCAGATTGCTGTGACTTTGCTCCGGCTCTTTCTGCCAGCCCCCAGAAGTGGACCTGCCAGACAATTCCTGACTGTAAAGATGGGAAGAGTTGAGGGGAAGGAGAGTATGTGAACTTCTCCCGAGAGACTAGGACCTGTCCACTCTCCCCTGTTCCCCATGGCTCCTGTATATGGTCTCATCACATTTCCTGCCTTCTCTTGCTAACATGGAGGGCAGGACCAGGCTCCACTCGTCTTTGCACCCCAATGCCTCCATAGAGCTGAGCGCATTATTGACACAATTATTTTTTCAATGTCAACTCAACAAGCATCATCAGGCATTGGATGTTTTGCTCTTCATATGGGGTTTCTTTTTTGCTTAATGGGCAATGAAATCTATTTTCAAACGTTTTTTAGTTGAATTCATTGGGGGTGACATTGATTAATAAAATTTTATAGGTTTCAGATGTACAAGTCTATCAATGGGCTTCCAGTGAATAATTGTAGGAAGAGATTGTGGGTGTGCACGTATATTGTCACATTTAAATATTTGGAAGTAATTTTAACCATCACTCCCTCCTGAAGAATAGCTGCTTTCCCCAAAATTGAAATTTCAGATGTGAGATTTGAGAGATTTGGCTGAGAGAAGACTCTTCATTGGAATGTTACGTGACTTACTTGGGCTGAAATCTCTTTTCCCTGGTGACGTGAGATCTTGGAACAAGGTGGCCTCTAACAAACTTACACGTGTTCTCGGTGCTTAGGAAAATAGTCAATGGAATGGTGCATAAAAACTGGATTTTTACCAAAGATTTTATTTTGAGCCTCTCAAAGATTATAATAAAGCAAATCATTCTATATGTTCCAGGAAAGTACATTATATTGAATATTTGTGTTTTTATTAGCTCAGCAGAGTAATTTGATAATTGTTACTTTTATGTGGTATGGCTGCAAGAATAGTGGGAAAATGCAGACTTTAGAGTTGGTCGAACCCAGGTTTGAATCTGGTTGGGTCACTTTTTGCTATTATCTTGGGTGAGTTACACCAATCTCCTGAGCCCAAATTTTCTCATTTATAACATGAGATCTAACATATACTCTGGCATTGGAAATTAAGTTTGGTTAGATACCTAATACATAGCAGCCATGGTGCACTGATTATGGTCACACATTCTATTTAAAACAAACCATTTAATATGAAAAATATATTTTTATATAGAATTATATTATGATTCTCACAGGCATATAAATTACTAATTAGAATTATTTAAACCTGGCCAATTGTTAATGTCTGGGAATGCTATTTCATTTCAATTCTCAAAGCTGCTCTACCACAGCAAAAAAGTCACGGTTTCCTACAGGGAGATTATCAGGAAGTTCTGCAGGGAACAAAACAATTGACATTAAAAATCAGTACTCTGCAATTGTCGCTGTTATTATCTGCCAGAGACTCTGCATAATGCATTTTAAACCACCGAGGCTGGCTGCCACATCCATATGAGATGCTTGAATTTTATGGTGCTTAAATATTTAATGATTCATAGGAAAAATGTGAAACGGGTCCAATAAATTGCATCCCTTTCTCTAACCTGTGGTTGTAAAGTTAAAGACTTTGAAAACGTACCATTTGCAAGATGCCTGGTCTGCTACTGACAATTCAGTCTTCGTTGTACAACAGTTTATAATTTCATTTATTATGTATAAAATTCTGGGATGACATCTCAAAACAACTGTGATGTATCTGGTGTATTTATTTCCTTTCAAGCCAACGTGAGTTCACTTTCTTACCTACCTCGGAATGCCACATCCCTGCAGCTGGCTCGGGGGTCAAACAGGAAAGGACACAAGGCAGAAGTGGGAGCAGCCAATGGGAAGAGCATGGGCACCCTAAAATGTGACCCCCTTCCCCCAGGAAAGGATGGGATTCCTGGGCTCTGGGAAGCGCTGTCTTGTGCAGGGTGCTAGGCTGGGGGATGGATGGGAAACCAGGCCTCAGGGCCAGGGGTCTACATCAACCTGCTGAGTTGCTTGGGCAGGGGCTTGGGTGCAGACCCTGTGGGTTGAAGTTGCCCCGTTAATTGAAGGAGAAGGAGAACACTCGCTTCACAGGGTGGTTCTGAAAATTGAAAGTGAGAGCTACAACTACAAAGAGATTAAGTGGAAGTGAGGTATGGTTACTGATAACCATGGTAACCGGAAGGTAGGGGTCAGGCAGGGATGATGGTCTCCTGCAGCAAAGCGCAGGGCAGGCGAGGTGCAGGCAATCAGTGACTGACTCAGGAGCCACTCTGGTTAATTAGAGCGGTCCTCGGTCCCCCCTCTCACCTGGTGGAGATGTGAGGATGTTTAACCTTTCTTGATCTGTGTGTTAGCAGGGACTAGGTGACAGGAGCTGTATTAACCCTGCTGCTTGTGCTCCCTCTCAACCTCTCCAGTGTCCTATGTTGTGGGTAAGGAGACTGAGATTTAGACAGAGTAAGCGGCTTGATCGAGGTGACACAATCAGGACCCATAGAATCTGAACCCTGGTCTGTCACTGAAGATTGCACCTTCACCTACACCAGTGGTCGGCAAACTCATTAGTCCACAGAGCCAAATATCAACAGTACAACAATTGAAATTTCTTTTGAGAGCCAAATTTTTAAAACTTAAACTTATTCTAATGCCACTTCTTCAAAATAGACTCGCCCAGGCCGTGGTATTTTGTGGAAGAGCCTCACTCAAGGGGCCAAAGAGCTGCATGTGGCTCTCGAGCCACAGTTTGCCGACTATGGACCTACACTATCACCTCCCAAGGGCTTCACCATGTGTGGGTGGCTTAGAGGGCCCCACGGGGCTGTCACTCTGGGGCCTGAATGGATGCTGTCCCTGTAAGGCCCATTATGAGTCCTCAGACCCCCACCCAGCTTGGCTCGGAGACAGTCTGAAGGTGTGCTTGGAGGGAAGGGAACAGGGTACCCTGAGGTCAGAGCCACTTGGGGAGCCCGGAAGGCCTGTATTGCAGGGTCCAGTGCAAACCAGCCAGGCCTCTGGAGCCGCCTGATATCCAAGGTCAGCAACTCAGAACTACCCTGAGCTGGAGGAAGAAGTAAGTGGAGGCCCTTACCGGGAGGCCCAGCCGCTGCAGTGCCCGCTAACCTAGACATTTTCGTTGTCCCACTTGCCAGCAGGCACTTCCTGTCCAAGGGGGTGGCTTGCATCCTTAATGATTATATACTTCGGGCATAATTTTATCTGCCTAACATGAAATTCTCAACCAGTTATCAACTGGGACCTATGTGTCTGGAAAACTAGGGAAAGCTT